AGATCCAAAAAGGTTATAAAGGTGTTGTAAAACTAATCCAAATTTAGGCTTTTATTCACATATAAACACACATGCATAGGTAACAACTAACACTAACACTAAGTCTAAATCTGGACCATCTACTTTATTTTATGCTTGATATCCTAACTGCTTCAGTGATTTACATCTATTGCAGCTACATGTGCTCATTGTAATGTACTTCCTGCTTTCCACAGACAGGATGGTACAAATTAACTCTATTCCACTCCATCTCCCAGCTTTCTAATGCCTTTACTGTGCTTGGGAAATGGTGAATGGAGCTAACAGAGCATTACTGACAGACCTGTTCAGAATATAGAGTAAAATCGGACACAACTGCCACACTCTGTGAACCTTGAGGAGAATGTTTAATAGTTAGACAGTATCAACATAGTCATTGTTTGTAATTATAGGAGTTACATTATTGTGTTTGTATTTATGCCTTGTACAGTTTACGTTTTTCCAAAGACCATGTTTAACCAACACAAGTCACGTGATTATGCAGCATGTCTGGACACGGACTGTGGTTGTCGGGAAAAGTGACAAAACACTTGTTGCTTGCTGTAACATGTATCATGTGCCTTGTTATGCATATAACTGTTCTACATAATCACAGCTTGTAAGAGGGTCAGTGGTGGTTGCGAAGGTTCATTTAAAATACATTTTCTAGCTACCCTTTCTGCCTTTGGTTTATCATCTGGTTTGAGATAATATTCAGTGCATTTATGATGCACTGGTTGACTGAGTCACTGATGGAGAATTAATGCTATATCTGGGTGATATGACATAAAGAGAATATTGAATATTTCCGTTTTTACTCAATATAATCAACAACTCACTATTCTGATCCAATATAGCTATTCTAGCTCTTCTTGTAGACACAGTTCTTTTGTATCACTGTATTATAAAATGAGTCTGATTAACTGGAAAGTCCATCATATTTTTTACTTACTGTAGGTAGCAGGGCTTTTGGGATACGTGCCATAGATGTTAAGTGATTGGTTATGTCAGCTTTAGGTGATGGGTAAACATCCAGTTTGATCTGTCAGAGAGGAGAGTAGAGATTCTTTCTGAGTTTCAACTGGATGACCATGTCCAATCATTTGGTGTAAATGGAGGTGAGTAATGGTCAAATCACTGACCCATGTGTTGAGGGTATGGGTGAGGAGTGTGAGCTTTTCCAGCTGAACTTAAGAGCTGTTATCTTGGAAGGAAATAAGCCAGAAAAGCACTGACCCGGAAATGCACATCTTGGCTAGATATTAACTGGTAAGGGCTCATGAATTGCTGTCTGTTCCATATTCTGTTCCATGTTCCATATCTTCCATATTCTGTCTGTTGATGTATTGCATTTTTGTGTTGAAATTTTTAAGTATAAACAAATTTGCTTGAAATTGATGAAAGATGAAATGTATTATCTGTTTGTCTGTCTATTTATATTCATTATTTTAATTATTTGTAAATTCACTATTTACAGTGGTTACATTATATTTAAATGGGGAAGTCTTGGCCTAATGGTTAGAGAGTTGGACTCGTAACCCAAAGGTTGCGGGTTTGAGTCTCGTACCGGCAGGGATTGTAGGTGGGGGGAGTGAATGTACAGCACTCTCTCCCACCTTCAATACCACGACTGAGGTGCCCTTGAGCAAGGCACCGAACCCCCAACTGTTCCCTGGGCGCCGCAGCATAAATGGCTGCCCACTGCTCCGGGTGTGTGTTCACTGCTGTGTGTGTGCACTTAGGATGGGTTAAACGCAGAGCACTAATTCCTAGTATGGGTAACCATACTTGGCCACATGTCACACTTGTTAATTAGACTAAATTAAATAATTACAAAACAACAAAGTACATATCAAAGTAATGTAAAGTTCAGCGTGTATTCCTGTCTCAAAGTTCATATGAGTCACTTCATAACCAACCTTTTGAACATCCGGTTGCTCTCTCTTATCACCTAGTGCTGTAGTGCGGTCTCTCCCCCGTGTGGAGGTGCAACTGTCTGATGCATGTGATCCAATAACTGTTGAGATTAAATTACTACAGAAATAATTCGTGACTTGTAATAAATTGTTAACATGGAAATAAATAATGACTTTGAGAAACAGTCATGTGGATATTCGCCAGATTTAAGACTTTATCCTTTTATTCGATTCTAGTAATTTTGGTAATTTGTGATTCATTATGAAAATTAAGGTAATTTAAGTTGTTACCTGGGATTTAAACCTAAGGGAAATTGTTTGCTTCTTTGTTTGTTTGTTTTTTAGCAGGAGCCACAATAAGACGATTCAAAAGTTAAACTTGATCCAAAATAAATTAATATACCATTATGTTATATTTGAGGAGTAAAGTGTTATTGGCTACAACGGCATTCCATGTTAGTTTCACTGCTATATTATAAAGGTTAACATTCACTTAAATTCGGAGTGAGTAGAGCAAAGTGACGCTCTCTTTTCGTTCCGTTTTAGATGGAGATTCTGTGATTGCATTGTGTGTGTGTGTGTGTGTGTGTGTGTGTGTGTGTGTATATATATATATATATAAAATAAAAAAAACAATTATTGTGTGTGTGTGTGTGTGTGTGTGTGTGTGTGTGTCCTTGTCAATTTCCCCGCACCTCCCTTTTGCTTGGTGTCCACTCACTTTTTCGGGTGGGCAGTGAGCCCCTCCTCTAAATCCCTGACGAAGTTATTTAGGGTGTAAAATTGATTTGAATTTGCTGTTAGCGTTCACATTTTGTGTCCGGACCACAGCGAGCAACATACGCTCCAGAGAGATTCATCAAATTGAGGAGAAGGAGAACACACTTTTTTTTTCCTGACACGTATGAAGGTCTCATGAGGACTCACTGTGAACTGGGATTAAGTAAGATTAAAGATTTTCGTTTGGAATTATAACTTTCATAAAAGGTACAGCATTTCATTCACTATTTTGTACTGTTCTATGTATGTTATGACACTGTCGTCAGTCAGAGTGATTCAGTAATTGCAAAATGTATGAATGCATGTCACGGCATAATATGATTACATTTAAATAAATCAGATAATAATTCAAAATAGCCTACTAGATGTAGTTTTTAACGATTGTTTTTCAGCCTTCGTCGTCTTGCTATTGTTGTTGTTGTTGCTATTATTATTATTATTTATTTTCTGTTGTCCAAATATTATTTCATAGTATATTTTACAATATGGAGTAGCCTGAATAATATTATATTCATGTTAATATTGTAACATGAGTCACAAGGAAATATTAAGTTCCCATGACCTCACTCAATACAGGAGTAGAATTATCCAAAGTGAATCAGTGAACTGATAAAGCAGTGCCAAAGACTCGTTAACAATCTTTCACATCTCTGATGCTGACTAGGCTACATAATTGGGCGTGACTAGTAAAAGCTTCCAGCTCCGTTTAAGGCACCTAGTCTAGGGCAAGGCAGTTCTGAATATCTATTCGCAGATAATAATTGACTATGAAACATTAACTGTAGACTGGGTAATCTACTTATTACAGAGTGAGGAACTTCCAACAGCAGTGCAGGAGCGAAATAGAACGCGCAGACATTGGTACAGCGCGTGCGTGAATGAAAAGTGATGATGTCTCTAATCTCAGACTTCTTGGATGATAATGAGGATTTTAATGCATCTATGTGCAATTCTTTGGAAACGTTTCCTAAGTAGATACACCACGTGTCCGTTGTTTTATCATTTTATTTTTTATTAAAGATATTTTTTTTGAGATACAATGTAGTGTTCGTGCACTGTAACATTTGCCTCCATCTATTTTTGTCACAATGATTTCTGTAATTTATATTTGGTTTTATGAGATTTCGGTAATGAAATTCAGAGTGGTCAAAAGTGCGATGACCTGCACGTTTTCACCCCGTTGATCGTTGAGGCGGCAGTTAAACTTCAAATGGCACCTTTAAGGAGCTGACTTTCTCATACTGTAACAGGCACGGAATAAACAATAGAAAACGTACAACTGCATGAAATACTATGAAGAAAGAAACAAAGAAACCTTAATGTTCACATACGTCACGTACTTTTAACTTTCACACCGCACTTAAGTTTTGGGTTGCTTTACGTCACTTTCTCATGTGGTCAGTGGGTAGTCTCGTGAGCCCCGCTTTTGTAGTGTGGCGGTGGCAAAAATTTGTGCTTCACCCCCCGCAGGGGATTATAGCAAATTGAATACTCAATTCGGCCTCCCACCCTCTGAGAGGAAACACTTTGTATGACCACCACATCGCCTCAGTCAGATGAGTAAAGCCTTTCAGCATTCATGAGTCTTAATAGATAGCAAATGTTATTCAGCTCTGAATACAACTAGATTTAAGTGACTTTTCAAATCAATGATTCAGTGATTCTTATCTTCACCTCCTAGACTGGAAGATGTTGCTAAATATAAAACACATGCTGTGGTTGATCTGCATATACCAAACTACGACTGAATCTGGTAAGCTTTTTTTATATATATATATAAAAATTAACATCTATATTAAAGTGTTTGACTGGCAATACATCTCTACATGTTCAAGAGTTTCAGAATGTAAGGGTGGACATTTGATTTATTAATGTAAGACTGGTGTTTGCATGAGTCTAAGGTACAAATTCGTGTGAATATATACATGCTTTTCTTCTCTGTGATCTTTTTAGGGGTCTATATGATTTCATTTCATGCAACAAAAATATACTTATTTGTTAAATTAATTTCAATGCATCCCCTGAACTGGTCAAAGTGTAGTGAATCAGACCTTAAAGTCCCCATGAAATCAAAATGAAAGTTTTTTGGGTGTTAGTATCAATATGTTAGTCTTAATGATATGTCCCGCCCTGTCTTCCTGTTTCAGTTAAAATGACGTCAACTCATAGAGTAACGCTGCGTGTTTCTAAGCATGTCAGGGGACCTTTAAACTCTCATTCCCACAAACTATTGTCCCCCAGCTGCCTCTAATGGTTTACTTCCAGGCACCTATACCTTTTAATTAGGATGTTCTTGTAGTCTGGTGCAAACAGATGGCTTGACTTCATCACTCCGAGAGGCCATGCTCTCACACAGAGGTGTGCTACCCTGAGGGGTAATCCCACCTGTCCAAAGCATTTCTCACATTGTTGGTCCAAGTATATGGTGATTTTCTGTCAGTTATGATCCTTTCAACGTCCCCCCTTCAAGGTTATCTGTCCTTCTACAGGAAAGTAGTTTCTGGTGTGCTCACCCGTAGGCTTCACAGAGGCAGTAAAATAATTCTCAGCTCATTTATCATAAACACAGTAAGGCATGATTTCCTGTGCTTTGCGGTGGATGCAGCTGTGTGTATAACGTTGAGACGTGCCTTTCGTTCTCTCAGTCTCTAGCACGTTATTGGTGATGCGTCCTGTCAGCGGCTTGTTGTCCGGGAAAGTGACCCTTCCATGTTACTTCTCCATCAACCCCACTGTCGGACCTAGAAACAGAAATGCCTCCGGAACAGATTACCTGCGCATCAAATGGACCAAAATTGAGGAGGGTGTTGAGTCGACTGTTCTTGTCACCCAAAACGGCGTCATTAAGATCGGTTCAGGGTACAGGAGCCGTGTATCTGTGCAGAGTCATCCGGAAGACATTGGGGATGCTTCTCTGACTATGGTGAAGCTTCGGGCCAGTGATGCTGGAACATACCGCTGTGAAGTGATGTTTGGGATTGAAGACACACAAGACACAGTCAGTTTGAATGTTGAGGGTAAGATTTTTTTCTTTATCTGTCTCATATTCTTTCAAATTTGTCTTGTCTTTTTAGAGACACCATTGTTGTATCCAAAGCACATATGCTGCTAATATGGGAAATTCCTTAAAGCTAATTGATCAATGAAAGTCATAACCCAAGTAAATTATAAATAAATGAAAGTTCAGTCTGTTAAGTGGAACTGTTTATGGGAGAAAACCCGGAAGCACAGATTATCTAAATTGTTGAGGGATTTTAAGGTTGTTTTGGACTCTCCCAGATTACAGTTACAATGTAAAAAGTCAAATGCACTCCAATAAACTTTACCTCTCTTAATGTCTTCCCTCTGCTTGGATATACTGTGATGGCAGGACGCATCTTGTATGGGCTGATTTATGCTCAGGCCATGTGAAAGGATGGGTTGGGTCAACCCTGAATTGCTTTGGCTCTAGAACTGCAGCTCCACCCTACTCTCAGCAAAGACACACTACCATTTTAATTAGATCCATTACTCATTTAATTTGAATTTTTTTCAAAGCGACAATTATGGGGGTGGATGGAATGTCCCCTCATTCAAATGAATGTCCCAACACTGCTTGCTTTATTAATTTGTTTATAAGCAACATGCAACTTGCAGTAAAGCAGTTTCTATTAGGCTTCATATTTATTGTGGTCACTTACAACAATGATACTAATACAATATGCCCCCTTTTAATGAAAATGTTAATGGATGGAATGGTCTTTGTTAGGACATGTTCATTTTTGTTTGTTTTATTTATTCTTTTGAACAGGCGTGGTGTTTCACTACAGGTCAAAGGTCAGCAGATACATCATGAACTATGCACAAGCTGTGCAGACCTGCAGCAATGTTGGAGCCACCATTGCTACAGCAGAACAGCTGAGAGCTGCTTATGAGGATGGATTGGACCAGTGTGATGCTGGTTGGATAGCAGATCAAACAGTGAGGTTAGAAGCATCACACACACAAACAGTCTGTACTTCTATATCTTCCACTGGCAAACTCAGTAATACGTTTTAGACAATATGTCAACATGTTGATATAAAAATAAATTACATAGGCTGTACTACTTGTACTACTTTTTTAGTCATGAGAAACTTTTCCCTCTGTGTGGATTATTTCTATCTAGATATCCAATCACTAGACCAAGGCCTGGCTGCTTTGGAAATCTGCCTGGAAAACCTGGTGTCAGGTCATATGGCAAACGCAGGCCCACAGAGACCTACGACGTGTACTGCTTTGTGGATAAACTCGAGGGTACGGATTTTACTATACATGTTATTTATTTCAACTTTTTTTATTTTTAAAATGTTTAATTTGGAAAAAAAAAACGGCAACAAAAAAATCTTGTTGACAAGGCCAGCAGTTCTGTGGTTATGTGAAAGAGCAGTAGTTTATCTATTATATTTGCTCTATGCTGACATATTTAATGTGGTTTTAAACTGCTGTTATAGCCAAAAATAAGTATCGACCATTTTGGCAATGAACATCTGTGGTATTAAACATTGAAGTGTAAGCTTTCAATATTTTAGCTGCCACAAAAGAGAAGTTTTTTTAAAGCAAATCTGTCTCTTTTCAGTTCCATTTTCAATGTGAACTTTAAAAGCATGTTCAGTTACTAATAAGGATGAGAAAATGTTGATTGTAGAGAATTCTATTTCTTACAAAAACCAAGGATGACCCAAAAATAACAAGGATTATTCAAAAACAATTTTTCTCATATCTTGTCAGAAGACTTGTTATTCTTAATATGTGCTAGGTCCAGCTCAATGTTATGACAACGGCATGAAAAACAGCTAATATCAGAGACAAATGGAAAATAGATTCATGAAATTAACACTCTGTTGTATGTTGTGGTGTTTAATATGTCTCATTCCCTCACGAAAGAAGATCTGGGTATGTCTTTACTGTTCTGCAGTATATTACTTAGACGTCATAAAAACCTCAGTTCTAGCTTTTGACAGCAACACCCAAGACTGGGCGAAAACAGCTCCCCCTCATTTTTATTTTCATTTGATTCACTACAGCGTTTGCTAATGGAAAACAATTCTTTCTTTTTTTGAAAACTGTTTAATGAATTTGCATTTGTCATATTATTTGGGTATTCCTCCTCCACCCAATATCTGGGTTTTGATTCATTGACTGGCACTTTGAAAATACTTGTTAGCAAGACTTCAATAATTACGATTATACTTAACATACGTTCTTAGTTTGTAATCTGTTTTGAAGACAAACTCAAAATTCAGCTAATTTCAGATATAATAATACAAAATATTTATTTTGTGTGTTTCTTTCTTTTCTTTTTTTACTTCAGGTAATGTTTTCTTTGCGCCCACAATGCGTAAGATGAACTTTAATGAGGCCAAGGCTGAGTGTGAAAGCATGAATGCAGAGCTGGCCTCACCTGGTCAACTCCACGCTGCCTGGAGACAGGGCCTGGACCGCTGTGATTATGGATGGCTGTCTGATGGCAGTGCTCGCCACCCTGTCTCCATACCCAGAAGTCAGTGCGGTGGTGGTCTGCTGGGTGTCCGCACCATGTACCGCTACCGAAACCAAACAGGCTTCCCAGATCCCAATATGAGGCTAGGAGCGTACTGTTTCAAAGGTAAAGACTTTACACTGAACTCATGAATTGTTTATGGTGTAATAAATGAACACCTGAGTGGTTGCAAGAACAGCCACTTTACCAGCTGCTTTGACGTCACTTCTCTCAGTATGCGTATTATGGAGCCCTCACCTCACCCCACCCCAGACTTACTGTGAATGCCTCTGAAGGGCAGTAAATCAAAGCAGAATATTAGTTAAAGTGCACCACTTTTTGATAATTGAGGTTCTTTTGAGTTGAGACGCCTGGTATGGAAAAGTTTACATGAGAGTTGCTCATTCTTCAGTGATTCACTGACCTCACTCTTCTGCATTCTGGGTTGCCGCCCGTTTCTAAGGAAACCAAACTGGGCTTGGACAAGAGGGCTTAAACATCCAGAAGTCCGTTATGCCACTGTAGTGCTTTGTGGCTAAAATGACAGATGCTTGTCAGACTTTGCCTTGTGGTGTTGTAGGTACTCAGACGTCAGAAAGACTTGATAATGTTCTCATCAGCTTTGATGACCTCATTAGAACAATATTATGCAACCAGGGAGATCAGTCTCAAAAGATAAACAGCACTGAGACTCGTCAAAGTCCCTTGAAAACAAGTTAGTCAATGGCCATTTTGGTAATGCATTTGAGCAGATATTTTCTATGCTGGTAATAGGCATATCAACTAGGGATGCATATTGCTATATTTAAATATATTAGCAGCCTAATATTGGATATTTAATTGTGCTAATTTTGCATCCTAATTACTTTTGCTGTTATGTCAAGTTTACCTAAAATTAATCTTTGAAAACAATAAGAATTTAATAACACTGTTAAATGTAAATCTCAAAATGAATATCATTTTTTGATATTGTACATTATAATGTTTTTATGCCTAATTTCACTTGTTAGATTTAAATGCCTAATTTTATTTTGTAGTGTTTTAATTGTCATTATAATATTAGCTGATTATCGTTTTTCACCCTAAAATGAAAGTAGTTATTGGGGATAGTGCATCCCAAATATCAGCTGATACCTTCCTGAAAAGACCAAATTCCCCCAAATCATTTCTAAGATTATTTACAATAACATAAAATATTTAATTCAGTCAGCAATAAAATCCTACAAAAGTATTATTGATTTTCCTTCTTTAGCTCAAATCTTGCCTAATACTGCTATGTTAAGCTTTATGTTTTCTCCCAGTCATTTTATCTAAATAATTTGTCTTCTCTCCATTATGTTTCTGGGTGAGTCTTTTGTTGCATAACATACATTTTTCATAACAAAGCACAAGCCTACAGCCATCAACAAAGATGAAAAAGTGCTTAGGTATTACCTGCTACTTTTCTTTTTCTACCTCTTTCCGCTGTCAGACTCTCCTTCCTTCCTGTCATTTGCACCAGCACTTATCTGAACAGACATGTGGATAAAGGAGAACACTACTACCAGAGCTCCAAAATCAGTGGGTCTCGCTAACCCCTGACCTGGGGGGTTTATCTGTTCTACTGAGGCTAATTTAGAAAACCTACCCCATGCTAGGCAGGGCACTCACCCAGAATGACAGCCAGTGACTGCTGTGATAAGTATTGGACCTGGGGTCAACCCTAAACCTCGACACTATGACCTTGGTATTTGTTTGGTCTGTTTCAACTCTGTTAAGCCTCTCTGATCCATGTGGCATTGAGTATGTTGAATTGTCTTCTCTTACGTGGTGGGTTTGGTTCTCATGTTCGTCTGCCCTTTGACTATGAATGTTTGATATAGTGACAGAGCTGCATAAAATCACAGGCTAATCAGGCTGGATTAGGATGACAAATGTTGTGTTTTTGCCCCTCACCACACCTTGCTACATAATAACATCCCACAAACCATCAGACAATGCATCACGTGGATGATGGACATTTTTCTTAAAGGAAAAAGTACCTCATGGCTGACATCAGACTGAATAAAGAGAGCCTGTAGATAATGGAAAACAGCTGGAGCCTTGGTTGCTGGCTTGTTATATCTGAAGATGATGCTTTTTTTTTGTGAACACAGGGTAATTAAAAGCCATTTAAGCATGTAAGCTGTTTGTGTGAATGAGAAACTATTTGCAAAACAATTGTTAGGTTGTTGTAACCATTCTAACACCATTCATCATTCATGAAAGAAATCCACTGAATAGTTTAAAGCCAACTTAATCTGAGTTAATCTGATGTGCTATTCACGCCAACCTTTACATATTTAAAATCAAGCACTGCATACAATGAAATGTTCAAAGAGCTGTCGGTACCTAGAAAGTTGTGTAAAAATTACCATGCCCTTATTTTCCTTTTTATGGAGTTACAGTGAAAATCACTCTCAGATTGCAACAATTTGAAAAGCTTTATCACCCAAGTATGTTTCAACATTTGTTAGAAATATAGGCCTCTCTGGGACGGTATGATCAAAGCATCGCCTTTTAGCAATAATGGGATGATGTTTCATAATAATTTAATTATAATAAGCATACAATCAAGCATAATGTCCCAGGAGATGGACTGACATTTGGAAGCTGCTGTGAAAACTGAAAGATTCCCATAGCAGAGATTTATTTGGAGATCGTTAATATTTTAGATACAGCGGCCTTAAAAAGTATTTGTCCAAATTTGTAAATGCAATTCTGGATATCAAACATGACAACCATGTGACAAAAGAAAATATCATAATATATTAATACCTCTTATTATTCCTAAATAAAAGAAAATAATCATTTATATCACCAAGACTGTATTCATTTGATCAGAAATACAGTAAAAACAGTAATATTGTGCAATATTGTTGCAATTTAAAATACATTTTTGAACAGTAATGCACATTTATATTTATTTAACAAATGAATGTTTTGCTTATATGTATTATTTAAATATATAATTTGCATATAATTATGCTTTTACCTTTTACCTGAAGCGGTAACCAAGAAGTTGCAATCTGATAACATTTTTATTTTGTATTTTTTTTACTATAGGTTGTAAGCTTTTATTCAACCAGTCCTCCTGGGTGGATGTCACAGTTCAGAGTGGTACCACTATGGAGCCCACCACAGGCCAGACTCTCTCCAGTCTCTCTCCTAAGGCCAGTCCGTCTCATGCATCACAGGCCACCTCTAATGATGACCTGTCTCCAACAGATGCCCCTTCTATGTTTTCTACAAGCATGGCACCACCAAAGACAAGCCACGTCCCTGACAGACTAGAATCCATCATCACACCTTTTGCAGCAGCAGTCAGTGCGAAATCTGAGGAAGGCTTTCCCACAACAAAACTTACAGATTTTGATATTAGTGATTTTGGCACTGAGAAGGCTGGTGACAAAGCAAAAGTTCGTGGAGATGTGATCCGTGGAGAACTTACTACTGCAGTTCCCACAGCCATAGAGGAACCAATGGAGGAGACAGAGGACAAGAACATCATTAAAGTGAAGACCGTTCTACCTGATATTTTACTCTCAGACTCCCTAAGCACGAAACCGATGTTTGCAGTCGGCAAAACAGAGGAGTCTATCCTGGTTGGGGTTACAAGAGACAGAGTTTTAGAATCAGAGGCCACTGTAGTCACAGTAAACACTGAAGAACCTGGACACAAAACTTTATCGTCCTCTCTTAGTGAATCCATCACAAAATTTCCAGCACAGATTCTGATGCACACAGCTGGTGAGACCAGTGCTGGTAAAGGTGAGACTGAATCACATGCTTCCACACAGTCATCTTTTACACTGGCAACAGAGGCCACTTTTCTTGAGAGTGCTAAGCCTACTGTGTTCTCTGAGTATGAAGATGAGACTGGCGTTGGTGTTGTTATGGCGAACCCCCCACCTCTGTCTACACAGAGATCCACCAGCCCAGAACCTGAACCTTCGGAGACCTCCAGTGGAGTTACCATCTCTGACCCTACAGTCACATCAGCTGTTTTTATGCAAAGCTCACAACCTGGAGAATCTTTAGAAACTACAGGGACCTCCAAATTGGCACAAAAGGCATCTCAAACATTCACCAGCTATTCAGAAAGCAAAACTGTTGAAGTGACTGATCATGTTACAAAGTCACTGGGTTTGACTACACCCAGTTCAGCCACAGTTGCTGCAGGAGCAGCAATAGCAATGCCTTCATTTATTGACCATGAAACATCACATGAAGAAGCTACATCAGGTCCTTCAGAGGCATCCAGGGAGACACTAACAGAGGCCACGGACACCACCACTGATTCTGATCACACATCAGGTAAGATTTCTCTGCTTTTCTTCCTCTGAGGTTTTCACATGCTTTCTGAACAAATTGGCTTGAAATGGCCTATCAGTCTCATTAATAATTGATATTGAAGAGATGTGCAAGGCAGGGCTACGTCATATTATGTTTAAACATTTTCTTATGTAAATATGAACATGTAACTAGGGCTGGGTATCGTTCAAAAAATGTAGATATCAATACCGATACCGATACCTTGATTTCGATGCTTCCTGAATGATACTTTTTTCGATACCAATTTTATGAAATCCATTTTAACAAGATTACATTACACATTACCTCAAAAAACTTTATTTTTTTTTCAGCTTGTTGACGTTTTTACAGATTTAAAGACTGATCTCCTGGAACTAAAAAAAAAAAATGTTTTTTCATTTAAAAAAAGGAACAAAATGTAACCAACACAATACATCATTGCAAATAGTTCGAATAAAGTTCAAATAATTTTCAGTTTCCACATCTTTTAGGCTACGTTTACACTAGTGTGTTTTCATTTTAAAACGCATAGTATATTTATACGCATAATTTATATGAATTTTTCACTGATTTACTGATGAGCATTTGCTGCTTCCAGTAGTGTCTGCCTGTGTTTTCTCTTCCGCAATCAATGTTCTGACTCAGAGGAAGCTCATTCGCTGCTCATAAGTCAATCATGTTACGCTTTCATAACCCACCCTGTCTCCGATGACGAACGTCCATTACACTTCCATGTCCAGTTCTGTACAGAAGTTCAGTACGGAAGTTATTACAAACACTCGATGGTTGTTTAAAGTGAGTTTTGAGTAAAAGCATAGTATAAATCTTATAAATTGTCTTATGTAGCATGATGCTACAGTGTGCATGAATGGTCACGTAACATGCTTTTTCGGTTGTGTAGTGTGGACGGATATCTTTTCTGAAACGCAGTGGAAACACCAGTATTGACTAGGATCGTTTTCATTTTAAAACTCAGTTTTAAAACAAAAACACACTAGTGTAAGCGTAGCCTTACATCCGTGGGGGTTTGGACGCTTACACACTTCAACCTCACGTGTGAATCACGTCTCTGGGTGTAACCAGTGTAAACTAGTGTTTTTCCTTGATGCCTCACCAGAGCCAATCACCAGCACTTGATTTAGGCACATCAAGCATACTGCATGCTTATTGGCTCACTGACAATGGCGAGATTAACCCCTTAGGTATTAGGGCTGAAACAATTAGTCGACATTATCGACAACGTCGACAAATATTTTTGTTGTCAAATAGTCGTTTGACCTAATGTAAGAACCTGCAATAATGTGGTTTGACCAGTGTGGCACTGTAGTGCAAGACTGTAATTCAGCTCTCCCGGATGAAATTCTCAAATTCTCAGCAGCTGAACCTGACGCTGCTGAGAGCAGAAATGAATATGTAAATATGTGCTGCACGCTTTCCTCTGAATAATGAAATAAACACACAACAAAAATTACAGCGGCGAGAAAACAGCAGTTAAGAAAGCATCTGATCATAGCTATGTGGATAAGTTTGCACCAGCTCTGCAATCGGCACTCCAGCCACGTCACGTTTATTTAAATAGTGCTTTATACAATAGATTAATTTGAAGCATGCAGCTTTACAGTTTTAAACAAGAAAAAACAATCTCACAGTGTCAGTCTTGCTTTCAGTTAGAATTACAACTTGATTTTCTGCTATAAACCAGCTGTCCAGTGTGGAGCTAGTTAATGATAGAATCTTTTTATTAGTGAATGCAAAATAAATAAATAAATACAAATAAATAAAAAAAATCATTACATTAAAGTGATAGTTTGGTTTGCATAGATTAAAGCTTGAGCTAGCTCAGGACTGTTTTGATTAATATAGCACTATAAGGTGTTTTAAGAGAGCTAATGTGAATAAAATAATTTATCAAAAATAAAATGTCTTAGCACTTTATTTTGTTCAATATATGACTTTCAAAAGATGTTAGGCAGAATGATACATCATTCAGTCAGTCAATTACTTCATACAGTTAATTAAATGGTGAATGATAAAGTCTCCCTGTAATCTCATTTTGTGTGCCAAATATATTTATTTGCAAAAATAATTGAAAGTAATTGTACAATAGTAATACAATTGTTTGACATTTTACATTCACTTCAAAGCTGAAGTGATTACCTTGTTTAGTTTATTAGTTAGGATATACAGTATGTAACTAATTTTAACTCATTCTAAAAGCAGAATAATAGAACAAAGCCTACTGATTAATTGGTGAAATAATCGACGATTAGTTGATTAATCGTTAGATTAATCGACTATCAAAATAATTGTTTGTTGCCGCCCTATTAGGTATCGTAATTTGGTACCGAACGACAAGACATTTTTCGGTACTCGGTGGTATCGAGGCAATTCGATCAGTGCCTAAAAGAAGATATCGAACTTGATATCAAGCCCTACAAGTAACATGAAAGGAATAGTATATGTTCTCACCCTCTGTGGTTTTCATTCATTATCAGTAACATATTCTATATATAATTATGATTTGAAGTGTTTATGGTTTATTTTTATATTATTGAAACATTAAGATAACCAACAAAGGTTCTGTTTTTGGCTAGCCTTTTGTTCAGAGATTTTAAGGTACTACATTCATGGTAAATCATGGTTCATTGTCCAAAATATTATAGTGTAATGTTTTTTTTTTCTTTTTTTTTCTTTCTTTCTTTTATTTTTGCAGCACAGAAAGAATAATGGTCATCATTTACCACTATACATAAATTGTTATTAAATGCTGTAAAACTGCTAAATGTTCATACCAAGAAGAACAACTGTAAAGATAACAATAACTTTATTAGTGTCCACACCACTAGGCAATGGCATTCTGTTTAGTAATTCTAATGATATTATATAGTGTTGTGTGGACTTGCTTATTCCCATAGAATTGAAATGATTATTACAACTTTATTGTTGTAGTTATTGTTACAATTATCATTCTATATGTGAACAGCCCTTAACAGTGCTGTCCAGGGTCCTGAAAAGTATGGTTCTTTATGTTAAAAATGTACTTACAAAGGAATTTTTTAGCAGTACCCATGATCCCTTCTGTCATTCTCTGAGAATGTCAATTTCTTGACGCTTTCAAAACATTTGTGCTCTAACTCTGTCTGAAAATGCTTTCACGTCCTGAAAACAAAACTGCCTGCCCTGTTTGCTGATTTTACAGAGAGTATTGAAAGAATTGTCAAATTTTAGATGGATACTACAGTACCATACAGCAGCCATTTAGCCTTGTGTTCTTTGTATTGCCTTTAGCAATCCTTTTTAATGGCGACAGACATTCTCGACACTGTGATTCTGAGAGAAAGAAAAACGCTTTCTTGATGTTGTTTCAAACTGGTCCACATTGTGCTCAGTAGGACTTCACTATTGACTAATTTTTGAAGCTCCAGGCAGTAACCATTACCTACACTACACCACAGGTGCAGCATTAGCTGGCTGATCTGTTTAATGAAAGTTTTTTTTTTGCCTCCATCTGGCAGAGATGGTTTCAATACAGATAATGTGGATCCATTTAGTTTAGAGAGCTGTTTATTAGGGGATGCCCTAACAAATAAATTTTCCCAGTGTTTTCTGTCAGTGACTGCAGACTTGGCAAAATGAGGCTTTGGACGCATTACCAGTGCAAACACAGAGGTCTGTTAATGCATTGACGTCTGGACGCTACAGCATGTCTGATGTCATCTCTACAGCAGAGTTTCCTCTGTATAGAGATGGCTGAGAAAGTGGTAGTGAAGAGAATGTGAGTGTTGCAGTCTTATGTTGGTCTGCTTGGTTGGTTGTAAGAAATAAGTGTAAGACCAAAGGAAAGCAAGGATGTAAAAATGAAATATAACGTATTTCATGTCAAAATATTGTGACACAAAGATTAAACTAATGAGTTCAGGACATTAACCGGGTTGCTTAGGCCAGTGAGGTAATGATTTAGGGACAAAAGCACATTTGTGCCTACCGACAGCCCTCTGCACTGCTCTCCATTTTGAGCACGCTCCAGCTTGTTTTTACCAGATGCATAAAATGACGCTGGGAACTTTGGGTTTGGCCATTCCCTTGTGTCTGCAAGTTGGACTATAGGCAAATGAATGAAAACAAGATTTGTTTTTTTTCTGTGTTTTGTCTGTCCAGACTCCTGTTGGCTTATCCAGTTGTCTGCAGACGTTAACCTTTGTCCCTGCAGGTGTTCCCAACATCAGCTACTAATCTGGACAAGTTCAGCTTGTGGGAAATACTGGTCTTCATCTGACCTTGAAATATATATCAGTAGCTGTGTGGGATGTTTACCTGATATGACTAATGTTGCTTTAAGATGAAATGGTAGATTTGGTAGATATGTAGTGCTTTAGTTTGTGGCAGCCAGTCATGTTTACTGAGTCAAGAAGGAACCGGATGTCTGTCTTTGCTCTGGACTCTGATGACACAGTCACAACAAGGACATTTAGTGGACAGGATCAGTTGTTGTGAGGTCTGTAAATACAAGGGCTGTCTGGAAAAGTATCGAGCCATGTAATATGTAAAATACGAGATGCAATCCGATGAAAACGGTTGCAGCTATGGGCAACTGGTGATTGGTAACTTCATCACGACAATGCGCCCGCCCATGCATCATGTGTGACTCAGACCCCCTACAGTCCAGATTTGGCTGGATACTTTCCGGATAGCCCTTGTATGTACTGTATGCATTGAAAGGCCCAGTTGTGTTGTTGGTTGTAATAATCCAGTATAAAACTTTTTGCTAACTTTTTTGTTTTTCCATTATAAAACTAGTTTACTAAAAACATTTGCCATTTCTTTTTGTCTTCATTGACCTAAGACTTTTAATATGGCAAACATATACAGCCTCTTCTATTAAATTGTAAGAATCTATTAATGTGCATATGCATTGAAAAAAATCGAGCATGTTTGAACTTTTATCATTTTGTGAAATATTCAAAAGTCTGATTTGGTAACTGTCCCACCCAATTACCAAACTCAGAGTTGTACATCGTTGAGACATGAACTGAGAATTTATTTTAAATTCCTATTAAATTCCTGAATTTTTACTGAATTTGTAGTTAATAGGATACAGAATTTCAATTAATTTTTGAATGTAAGAAAGTAGAATTGAAATGAATTAAAATTCAAAGAAATTCATATGTCTATATAACTAGAACTGAATGTTGGTTTAGGAATGCTTTGGTTGAAAGATAAAAAAATTATGATTTAAAAAAGTTTAGGATTAAACATAATAGATTACCTGTAATGAATTTCAATTCAACTTCCAATCAACTAAGTTTGACAATTCAGTTCATATTCATGAATTGACAGAAACACGATTCTTCATTTCTGAATTTTGCACAACCCTGCTACAAATGCATCTGGACAGAAAAGGGGCAATTAATTCAATTCTTTGCTTTATTATTTTTTCAACAGTTAATCAAAGTCTGATGCCTTTTGGAGAGCCACATTCTCACACTCCTCAGTTGGTAGACATCCCCGAGATACCTGATGATCTTCTTCCTGTTGATGGGGAGACTGTTGTGGCAAGTGGAGATTTCTTGTCCTCTCTAGCCGTTACCATGACACCAACAGTCAGCTTCATAAATGGCAAGTTTGAGGTGACACTTAAAGATGTGGCAGAAGAAGTTAGAGGAGATACATTTGGAAGTGATTCTCTTGGAGTACAAAACTTAAGTGAACAAGTAGAAACAACATTTAAATTTGATAGTTTATTAGTGGAGGCTGGTAGAACACCACATGAATCACTGGTGTCAGGATCATCAATAGTGTCCCCCTTGTTTTCCACAACCCTTGATACAGGAGCAATAGTAGTAGAGTCCACTCCGCCATCACCTCCTATTGCAATTAGCGAAGAGGAGACACTCATATCTGAAGGAACTGTCATGCCAAGCATTTTAATCTCCACCACTGAAAAGCAGCCTTCTGTGAAACCAGTACTCCCAATGGGATTAACAGATATTCCTTTGGATCATGATAACACTACTAAGTCATCTATATCTTCCTCAGTGCACAGTACTAGCTCAGTAAAAGAGGACAAAGTCAAAGATACAGTATATGCAACACAGGCCATGGGAATGACAACAAGTACAGTTTTTTCTGGCCTAGGACCTACTTCTGCACATATGGACCGTTTGGATACAGATGAAGCAGGCTTGAGTGTTCAGACAACAGAAGTGTTCAATTTGACGCTGCCAACTCAAGTACATAGTACAACAACAACAAGAAAAATGGACATAGCGTTTACATTTAGACCATCATCAAGTGAGACTGTTAAAATGCAGAAAGAGGCAACTTCAGAATTCATGATGCCATCAACAAAGAATTTAGTAATGACAACAGCAAAACATGAGCTTTCACCATCACGTTTTCCTTCAGTTTTACCATCTTCAGAGTCTAAGGCTTCAGGAGATGAGACTTTTAATATGTTTAGAACCACAACAGTAAGTTCTGCATTGTGTACAATAACTAAATCAGACCAAGAACTTACCAAAACCACAAAAACAATCTCAGGGTCCAGCTCAACAGATGCTGAGATCACAAGAGATCAGACAACTGAGACACATAGTAGAGAACCTGTTTCCACTCTTGACACTACTGAAACTAGCACAGAATGTACATTTATATCATTGAGCACTGGGGCTCTAGATCTCACCGAAAGCACAGAAACAATTTCAGGGTCTAGCTCAACAGATGTTGAGGCTACAGGAGAACAGACAACTGAGGCACATAGTAGAAAACCTGTTTCCTCCCTTGACTCCACTGTAACTAGTACCGTAAAAAGATTTATATCATTGAACACTCAGGACTCAACAGAATGGATGGTCACAAGTAAAGATATATCACATACAACAACAACCACAGCTACTCCAATGGAGGACAAAGATCTGTCAGCAAAACAATCTGAATCCACTGTCATTAATGTTACAGAGAATATTTTTTCCTCTGCTCAGACTGGACATTTAGACGAGACATTATCTGAAAGCACTGTAACAAGCACAGTGTCTACAGAGAAGACAACTGCCAAAGATGTGCTGTCACCATCACATTTTACGTTAGTTTTAGCATCTTCTGAGCCTGAAGCTTCAGGAGATGAGACCTCTGACATGTTTAGCAAGAAGTTCACAACAAGTCCTTCATTGTACAAGACAACAAAATCAGATCTAGATGACACCAAAACCACAGCGACAATATCAGTGTCCAGCTTAACAGATACTGAGGCTACAAGAGAAAAAACTGATCACTTAACTTTAAGAACAGTCACAACTTTAAGAACAGGCAGTGCCACGATGACTTCAGAGAAGACACCTGACAAAGATATGCTGTCATCAAGTTCCTCATTGTACACCACAAGCAAATCAGACCAAGAACTCAGCAAAACACCATCTGAAACAACAGAAACAATCTCAGTGTCCAGCTCAACAGATGCTGAGATCACAAGAGATCAGATAACTGAGGTACATAGTAGAGAACCTGTTTCCTTTCTCGACTCTACTGTAACTAGTGCTGTACATACATTTTCATCATTAAGCACTGAGGACTCAACAGGAGAAACTGTTACAAGTAAAGATGTTGCATCTCATACAGCAACCACCACAGCTACTCTGATGGAGGACAAAGATCTGTCAGCAAAACCATCTGAATCCACCATCATTAATGTTTCAGACACTCTGTTCTCCTCTTCTCAGACAGGACATTTAGATGAAACATTATCTGAAAGCACTGTTACAATGATCTCGGAGAAGACAACTGCCAAAGATGGGCTGTCACCTTCAAGTTTTTCTTCAAGCCTGACATCCATGGTGTCTGAAGCTTCAGGAGATGACACCTCTGATTTGTTTAGCAAAGAGTTCACAACAACAAGTTCTTCACTTTATACTCCAACCAAATCAGACTATGAACTTACCAAAACAACATCTGACACAACAGAAACAATCTCAGTTTCCAGCTCAACAGATGCTGAAGCTATAAAAGATCAGACAACTGAGACACATAGTAGAGAACCTGTTTCCATTCTCGACTCAACAGGAAGAATCGTCACAAGTCAAGATAATACAACACATATAGGAGCAGTAACTGTGACGGAGGCAACAGAACAATCAACAAAGTCATCTGAGTTCACCATCACTGATGTTTCAGAGACTCTGTTCCCATCCACTCGGGCTAGACTTTTAGATGATAAATTATCTGAAAGCACTGTCAAAATCACAATGACCTCAGAGAAGATAACAGTAAAAGATCAACTGTCACTTTCAAGTTTTACTTCAGTTTTGCCGTCTGAAGCTTCAGGAGATGAGACATCTGACATGTTTAGCAAAGAATTTACAACAAGAAGTTATTCATTGTACAGCACAACCAAATCAGACAAAGAACTCAGCAAAACCACAGCAACTATCTCAGGGTCCAGCTCAACAGATGCTGATATCACAAGAGATCAGACAACTGAGACACATAGTAGAGAACCTGTTTCCTCTCTTGGCTCTACTTCATCTAACACAGTACATACATTTGCATCATTGAGCACTGGGGACTCAACAGCACGAACACTCACAAGTCAAGACATTACTTTACATACAGCAACACCCACAGTGACTGTGATGGAGGAAAAAGAGTTGTCAGCAAAATCGTCTGAGTCCACCATCATTGATGTTTCAGAGACTCTGTTCTCCTCTTCTCAGACGGGACATTTAGATGAAACATTATCTGAAAGCACTGTTACAATGACCTTGGAGAAGACAACTGCCAAAGATGGGCTGTCACCTTCAAGTTTTTCTTCAAGTTTGAAATCCATGGTGTCTGAAGCTTCAGGAGATGAGACCTCTGATTTGTTTAGCAAAGAGTTCACAACAAGAAGTTCTTCACTTTATACTCCAAACAAATCAGACCAAGAAACACCATCTGACACAACAGAAACAATCTCAGTGTCCAGCTCAACAGATGCCGAAGCTACAAGAAATCAGACAACTGAGACACATAGTAGAGAACCTGTTTCCTTTATTGACTCTACGTTTTCATCACTGAGCGCTGGGGACTCAACGGGAGAAACCGTTACAAGTAAAGATGTTACATCTCATACAGAAGCAACCACAATTACTCTGATGGAGGACAAATATCTCTCAGCAAAACCATCTGAATCCACCATCATTAATGTTTCAGAGACTCTGTTCTCCTCTCCTCAGACTGGACATTTGGGTGAGACATTATCTGAAAGCAGTGTTACAATGAACTCAGAGAAGACTGCTGTCAAAGATCTACTGTCACAATCAAATTTTTCTTCTAGTTTGCCATCTACAGAGTCTGAAGCTTCAGCAGATAAGACCTCTGATTTGTTTAGCAAAGAGTTCACAACGACAAGATCTTCACTTTATACTCCAACCAAATCAGACCAAGAAACACCATCTGACACAACAGAAACAATCTCAGTGTCCAGCTCAACAGATGCCGAAGCTACAAGAAATCAGACAACTGAGACACATAGTAGAGAAACTGTAACTAGTGCTGTACATACATTTTCATCACTGAGTGCTGGGGACTCAACAGGAGAAACAGTTACAAGTAAAGACGTTACATCAAATATAACAACAACCACAGCTACTCTGATGAAGGAAAAAGATCTGTCAGCAAAACCATCTGAATCCACCATGATTAATGTTTCAGAGACTCTGTTCCCCTCTCCTCAGACTGAACATTTAGATGAGACATTATCTGAAAGCACTGTAACAATGACCTTGGAGAAGACAACTGCCAAAGATCTACTGTTACCATCAAGTTTTTCTTCAAGTTTACCGTCTACAGAGTATGAATCTTCAGGAGATGTGACCTCTGATATGTTCAGCAAAGAGTTCACAATGAGAAGTTCTTCACTTTATACTCCAACCAAATTAGACCATGAACTTAACAAAACATTGTCTGACACAACAGAAACAATCTCAGTGTCCAGCTCAACAGATGCTGAAGGTACAACAGATCAGACAACTGAGACATATAGTAGAGAAACTGTAACTAGTGCTGTACATACATTTTCATCACTGATCATTGGGGACTCAACAAGAAGAGCAGTTACAAGTAAAGATGTTCCATCTCATACAGCAACCACATCTACTATGATGGAGGACAAATATCTCTCAGCAAAAACATCTGAATCCACCATCATTGATGTTTCAGAGACTCTGTTCTCTTCTTCTCAGACGGGACATTTAGACAAAACATTATCTGAAAGCACTGTTACAATGATCTTGGAGAAGACAACTGCCAAAGATGGGCTGTCATCTTCACGTTTTTCTTCAAGCTTGACGTCCATGGTGTCTGAAGCTTCAGGAGATGAGACCTCTGATTTGTTTAGCGAAGAGTTCACAACAACAAGTTCTTCACTTTATACTCCAAACAAATCAGACCATGAACTTAACAAAACATTGTCTGACATGACAGGAATAATCTTAGTTTCCAGCTCAACAGATGCTGAAGCTACAACAGATCAGACAACTGAGACATATAGTAGAGAAACTGTAACTAGTGTTGTACATACATTTTCATCAATGAGCGCTGGGGACTCAACAGAAGAAACAGTTACAAGTAAAGATTTTACACGTCAAACAGCTCCAACCACAGCTACAATGAACGAGGACAACGATCTGTCTGCAAAACCATCTGAATCGACCATCATTAATGTTTCAGAGACTCTGTTCTCATCTGCTCAGACTGGACATTTAGATGAAACATTGTCTGAAAGCACTGTTACAATGGTCTTGGAGAAGACAACTTCCAAAGATGGGCTGTCACCTTCAAGTTTTTCTTCAAGCTTGACTTCCATGGGGTCCGAAGCTTCAGGAGATGAGACCTCTGATTTGTTTAGCAAAGAGTTCACAACAACAAGTTCTTCACTTTATGCTCCAAACAAATCAGAACAAGAAATACCATCTGACACAACAGAAACAATCTCAGTGTCCAGCTCAACAGATGCTGAAGTTACAAGATATCAGACAACTGAGACACATAGTAGAGAGCCTGTTTCCTCTCTTGACTCTACTGTAACTACTGCTGTACATACATTTTCATCACTGAGCACTGGGGACTCAACAGGAGAAACTATTACTAGTAAAGATGTTGCATCTCATACAGCAACAACCACAGCTACTCTGATAGAGGAAACAGATCTGCTAGGAAAACCATCTGAATCCACCATAATTAATGTTTCAGACACTCAGTTCTCCTCTCCTCAGACTGAACATTTAGACAAGACATTGTCTGAAAGCACAGTTACAATGACCTTGGAAAAGACAACTGCCAAAGATCTACTGTCACCGTCAAGTTTTTCCTCAGGTTCACCATCTAAAGAGTCGGAAGCTTCAGGAGATGAGACCCCTGATATGTTCAGCAAAGAGTTCACAACGACAAGTTATTCACTTTATACTCCAACCAAATCAGACCATGAACTTAACAAAACATCATCTGATATGACAGAAACAATCTCAGTGTCCAGCTCAACAGATGCTGAAGCTACAAGAGATCAGACAACTGAGACATATAGTATAGAACCTGTTTCCTTTATTGACTCTACGTTTTCATCACTGAGCACTGGGGACTCAACAGGAGAAACCGTTACAAGTAAATATGTTACATCTCATACAGAAGCAACCACATCTACTATGATGGAGGACAAAGATCTGTCAGCAAAACCATCTGAATCCACCATCATTAATGTTTCAGAAGCTCTGTTCTCATCTGCTCAGACTGGACATTTAGATGAAACATTGTCTGAAAGCACTGTTACAATGGTCTTGGAGAAGGCAACTACCAAAGATGGGCTGTCACCTTCAAGTTTTTCTTCAAGCTTGACGTCCATGGAGTCCGAAGCTTCAGGAGATGAGACCTCTGATTTGTTTAGCAAAGAGTTCACAACAAGAAGTTCTTCACTTTATACTCCAAACAAATCAGAACAAGAAACACCATCTGACACAACAGATACAATCTCAGTGTCCAGCTCAACAGATGCTGAAGGTACAAGATATCAGACAACTGAGACACATAGTAGAGAGCCTGTTTCCTCTCTTGACTCTACCGTAATTACTGCTGTACATACATTTTCATCACTGAGCACTGGGGACTCAACAGGAGAAACTGTTACTAGTCAGCAACAATACTCTGATAGAGGACAAATATCTGCTAGGAAAACCATCTGAATCCACCATCATTAATGTTTAATGTTTTCTGTTATCCTCTCTTCAGACTGAACATTTAGACAAGACATTGTCTGAAAGCACTGTTACAATGGTCTTGGAGAAGGCAACTACCAAAGATGGGCTGTCACCTTCAAGTTTTTCTTCAAGCTTGACGTCCATGGAGTCCGAAGCTTCAGGAGATGAGACCTCTGATTTGTTTAGCAAAGAGTTCACAACAAGAAGTTCTTCACTTTATACTCCAAACAAATCAGAACAAGAAACACCATCTGACACAACAGATACAATCTCAGTGTCCAGCTCAACAGATGCTGAAGGTACAAGATATCAGACAACTGAGACACATAGTAGAGAGCCTGTTTCCTCTCTTGACTCTACCGTAATTACTGCTGTACATACATTTTCATCACTGAGCACTGGGGACTCAACAGGAGAAACTGTTACTAGTAAAGATGTTGCATCTCATACAGCAACAACCACAGCTACTCTGATAGAGGACAAATATCTGCTAGGAAAACCATCTGAATCCACCATCATTAATGTTTCAGACACTCTGTTATCCTCTCTTCAGACTGAACATTTAGACAAGACATTGTCTGAAAGCACTGTTACAATGGTCTTGGAGAAGGCAACTACCAAAGATGGGCTGTCACCTTCAAGTTTTTCTTCAAGCTTGACGTCCATGGAGTCCGAAGCTTCAGGAGATGAGACCTCTGATTTGTTTAGCAAAGAGTTCACAACAAGAAGTTCTTCACTTTATACTCCAAACAAATCAGAACAAGAAACACCATCTGACACAACAGATACAATCTCAGTGTCCAGCTCAACAGATGCTGAAGGTACAAGATATCAGACAACTGAGACACATAGTAGAGAAACTGTAACTAGTGCTGTACATACATTTTCATCACTGAGTGCTGGGGACTCAACAGGAGAAACAGTTACAAGTAAAGACGTTACATCAAATATAACAACAACCACAGCTACTCTGATGAAGGAAAAAGATCTGTCAGCAAAACCATCTGAATCCACCATCATTAATGTTTCAGAAACACAGAAACAATCTCAGTGTCCAGCTCAACAGATGCTCAAGCTACAAGAGATCAGACAACTGAGACACAAAGTAGAGAAACTGTAACTAGTGCTGTACATACATTTTCATCACTGAGCACTGGGGACTTAACAGAAGAAACAGTTACAAGTAAAAATGGTACATCAAATATAGCAACAACCGCAGCTACTCTGATGATGGACAAAGATCTGTCAGCAAAACCATCTGAATCCACCATCATTAATGTTTCAGAGACTCTGTTCTCCTCTTCTCAGATGGGAAATTTAGACGAGACATTATCTGAAAGCACTGTTACAATGACTTTGGAGAAGACAACTGCCAAAGATCTACTGTCACCATCAAGGTTTTCTTCTAGTTTACCATCTACAGAGTCTGATGTTTCAGGAGATGACACTTCTGATATGTTTAACAAAGAGTTCACAACTACAAGTTCTTTATTTTATACTCCAACCAAATCAGACTATGAACTTACCAAAACACCATCTGACACAACAGAAACTATCTCAGTTTCCAGCTCAACAGATGCTGAAGCTACAACAGATCAGACAACTGAGACACATAGTAGAGAAACCGTAACTAGTGTTGTACATACATTTTCATCAATGAGCGCTGGGGACTCAACAGAAGAAACAGTTACAAGTAAAGATTTTACACGTCAAACAGCTCCAACCACAGCTACAATGAACGAGGACAACGATCTGTCTGCAAAACCATCTGAATCGACCATCATTAATGTTTCAGAGACTCTGTTCTCATCTGCTCAGACTGGACATTTAGATGAAACATTGTCTGAAAGCACTGTTACAATTATTTTGGAGAAGACAACTGCCAAAGATCTACTGTCACCATCAAGGTTTTCTTCTAGTTTACCATCTACAGAGTCTGATGTTTCAGGAGATGACACTTCTGATATGTTTAACAAAGAGTTCACAACTACAAGTTCTTTATTTTATACTCCAACCAAATCAGACTATGAACTTACCAAAACACCATCTGACACAACAGAAACTATCTCAGTTTCCAGCTCAACAGATGCTGAAGCTACAACAGATCAGACAACTGAGACATATAGTAGAGAAACTCTAACTAGTGCTGTACATACATTTTCATCACTGAGTGCTGGGGACTCAACAGGAGAAACAGTTACAAGTAAAGATATTACATCACATATAACAACAACCACAGCTACTATGAACGAGGACAAAGATCTGTCAGCAAAACCATCTGAATCCGCCATTATTAATGTTTCAGAGACTCTGTTCTCATCTGCTCAGTCTGGACATTTAGATGAAACATTGTCTGAAAGCACTGTTATAATCGTCTTGGAGAAGACAACTGTTAAAGATGGGCTGTCACCTTCAAGTTTTTCTTCAAGCTTGACGTCCATGGAGTCCGAAGCTTCAGGAGATGAGACCTCTGATTTGTTTAGCAAAGAGTTCACAACAAGAAGTTCTTCACTTTATACTCCAAACAAATCAGAACAAGAAACACCATCTGACACAACAGATACAATCTCAGTGTCCAGCTCAACAGATGCTGAAGGTACAAGATATCAGACAACTGAGACACATAGTAGAGAGTCTGTTTCCTCTCTTGACTCTACAGTAACTACTGCTGTACGTACATTTTCATCACTGAGCACTGGGGACTCAACAGGAGAAACCGTTACTAGTAAAGATGTTGCATCTCATTCAGCAACAACCACAGCTACTCTGATAGAGGACAAATATCTGCTAGGAAAACCATCTGAATCCACCATCATTAATGTTTCAGACACTCTGTTATCCTCTCTTCAGACTGAACATTTAGACAAGACATTGTCTGAAAGCACTGTTACAATGACCTTGGAAAAGACAACTGCCCAATATGTACTGTCACCATCAAGTTTTTCTTCAGGTTCACCATCTACAGAGTCGGAAGGTTCAGGAGATGAGACCTCTGATATGTTCATCAAAGAGTTCACAACGACAAGTTCTTCACTTTATACTCCAACCAAATCAGACCATGAACTTAACAAAACATTATCTAACATGACAGGAATAATCTCAGTTTCCAGCCCAACAGATACTGAAGCTATAAGAGATCAGACAACTGAGACACATAGTAGAGAACCTGTTTCCATTCTCGACTCAACAGGAAGAATCGTCACAAGTCAAGATAATACAACACATAAAGGAGCAGTAACTGCGACGGAGGCAACAGAACAATCAACAAAGTCATCTGAGTTCACCATCACTGATGTTTCAGAGACTCTGTTCCCATCCACTCGGGCTAGACTTTTAGATGATAAATTATCTGAAAGCACTGTCAAAATCACAATGACCTCAGAGAAGATAACAGTAAAAGATCAACTGTCACTTTCAAGTTTTACTTCAGTTTTGCCGTCTGAAGCTTCAGGAGATGAGACATCTGACATGTTTAGCAAAGAATTTACAACAAGAAGTTATTCATTGTACAGCACAACCAAATCAGACAAAGAACTCAGCAAAACCACAGCAACTATCTCAAGGTCCAGCTCAACAGATGCTGATATCACAAGAGATCAGACAACTGAGACACATAGTAGAGAACCTGTTTCCTCTCTTGGCTCTACTTCATCTAACACAGTACATACATTTGCATCATTGAGCACTGGGGACTCAACAGCACGAACACTCACAAGTCAAGACATTACTTTACATACAGCAACACCCACAGTGACTGTGATGGAGGAAAAAGAGTTGTCAGCAAAATCGTCTGAGTCCACCATCAAAGGTACAACAGATCAGACAACTGAGACATATAGTAGAGAAACTCTAACTAGTGCTGTACATACATTTTCATCACTGATCATTGGGGACTCAACAAGAAAAGCAGTTACAAGTAAAGATGCTCCATCTCATACAGCAACCACATCTACTATGATGGAGGACAAATATCTCTCAGCAAAACCATCTGAATCCACCATCATTGATGCTTCAGAGACTCTGTTCTCCTCTTCTCAGACGGGACATTTAGACAAAAGATTATCTGAAAGCACTGTTACAATGATCTTGGAGAAGACAACTGCCAAAGATGGGCTGTCACCTTCAAGTTTTTCTTCAAGCTTGACGTCCATGGTGTCTGAAGCTTCAGGAGATGACACCTCTGATTTGTTTAGCAAAGAGTTCACAACAACAAGTTCTTCACTTTATACTCCAACCAAATCAGACTATGAACTTACCAAAACACCATCTGACACAACAGAAACTATCTCAGTTTCCAGCTCAACAGATGCTGAAGCTACAACAGATCAGACAACTGAGACACATAGTAGAGAAACCGTAACTAGTGTTGTACATACATTTTCATCAATGAGCGCTGGGGACTCAACAGAAGAAACAGTTACAAGTAAAGATTTTACACCTCAAACAGCTCCAAGCACAGCTACTATGAACGAGGACAAAGATCTGTCAGCAAAACCATCTGAATCCAGCATTATTAATGTTTCAGAGACTCTGTTCTCATCTGCTCAGAATGGACATTTAGATGAAACATTGTCTGAAAGCACTGTTACAATGGTTTTGGAGAAGACAACTGCCAAAGATCTACTGTCACCATCAAGTTTTTCTTCAGGTTTACCATCTACAGAGTCTGAAGCTTCAGGCGATGAGACCTCTGATTTGTTTAGCAAAGCGTTCACAACAACAAGTTCTTCACTTTATGCTCCAACCAAATCAGAACAAGAAACACCATCTGACACAACAGAAACAATCTCAGTGTCCAGCTCAACAGATGCTGAAGGTACAAGATATCAGACAACTCAGACATACAGTAGAGAACCTGTTTCCTTTATTGCCTCTACTGTAACTAGTGCTGTACATCCATTTTCATCACTGAGCAATGGGGACTCAACAGGAGAAACAGTTACAAGTAAAGATGTTAAATATCGTACAGCAGCAACCACAGCTATGATGGAGGACAAATATCTCTCAGCAAAACCATCTGGATCCACCATCATTAATGTTTCAGAAACTCTATTCTCATCTGCTCAGACTGGACATTTAGATGAAACATTGTCTGAAAGCACTGTTATAATCGTCTTGGAGAAGACAACTGTTAAAGATGGGCTGTCCCCTTCAAGTTTTTCTTCAAGCTTGACGTCCATGGGGTCCGAAGCTTCAGGAGATGAGACCTCTGATTTGTTTAGCAAAGAGTTCACAACAACAAGTTCTTCACTTTATGCTCCAAACAAATCAGAACAAGAAACACCATCTGACACAACAGAAACAATCTCAGTGTCCAGCTCAACAGATGCTGAAGGTACAAGATATCAGACAACTGAGACACATAGTAGAGAGCCTGTTTCCTCTCTTGACTCTACCGTAATTACTGCTGTACATACATTTTCATCACTGAGCACTGGGGACTCAACAGGAGAAACTGTTACTAGTAAAGATGTTGCATCTCATACAGCAACAACAACAGCTATTGTGATAGAGGACAAAGATCTGCTAGGAAAACCATATGATTCCACCATCATTAATGTTTCAGATACTCTGTTCTCCTCTCCTCAGACTGAACATTTAGACAAGACATTGTCTGAAAGCACAGTTACAATGACCTTGGAAAAGACAACTGCCAAAGATCTACTGTCACCGTCAAGTTTTTCCTCAGGTTCACCATCTAAAGAGTCGGAAGCTTCAGGAGATGAGACCCCTGATATGTTCAGCAAAGAGTTCACAACGACAAGTTATTCACTTTATACTCCAACCAAATCAGATCATGAACTTAATAAAACATCGTCTGACATGACAGGAATAATCTCAGTGACCAGCTCAATAGATGCTGAAGCTACAAGAAATCAGACAACTGAAACACATAGTAGAGAAACTGTAACTAGTGCTGTACATACATTTTCATCACTGAGTGCTGGGGACTCAACAGGAGAAACAGTTACAAGTAAAGATATTACATCACATATAACAACAACCACAGCTACTATGAACGAGGACAAAGATCTGTCAGCAAAACCATCTGAATCCACAATCATTAATGTTTCAGAGACTCTGTTGTCCTCTGCCCACACTAGACATTTAGATGAGAAATTATCTGAAAGCACTGTTACAATGATATTGGAGAAGACGACTGTCAAAGATGTACTGTCACCATCAGGTTTTTCTTCAAGTTTGCCACCTACAGAGTCTGAAGCTTCAGGAGATGATACCTCTGATTTGTTTAGCAAAGAGTTCACAACAACAAGTTCTTCACTTTATGCTCCAAACAAATCAGAACAAGAAACACCATCTGACACAACAGAAACAATCTCAGTGTCCAGCTCAACAGATGCTGAAGGTACAAGATATCAGACAACTGAGACACATAGTAGAGAGCCTGTTTCCTCTCTTGACTCTACCGTAATTACTGCTGTACATACATTTTCATCACTGAGCACTGGGGACTCAACAGGAGAAACTGTTACTAGTAAAGATGTTGCATCTCATACAGCAACAACCACAGCTACTCTGATAGAGGACAAAGATCTGCTAGGAAAACCATATGATTCCACCATCATTAATGTTTCAGACACTCTGTTCTCCTCTCCTCAGACTGAACATTTAGACGAGACATTATCTGAAAGCAATGTTACAATGACTTTGGAGAAGACAACTGCCAACGATCTACTGTCACCATCAAGTTTTTCTTCAAGTTTACCATCTACAGAATCCGAAGCTTTGGGAGATGAGACTTCTGATACGTTCATCAAAGAGTTCACAATCATTATTAATGTTTCAGAGACTCTGTTGTCATCTGCTCAGACTGGACATTTAGATGAAACATTGTCTGAAAGCACTGTTACAATGGTCTTGGAGAAGACAACTGCCAAAGATGGGCTGTCACCTTCAAGTTTTTCTTCAAGCTTGACTTCCCTGGGGTTACAAGATATCAGACAACTGAGACACATAGTAGAGAGCCTGTTTCCTCTCTTGACTCTACTGTAACTACTGCTGTACATACATTTTCATCACTGAGCACTGGGGACTCAACAGGAGAAACTATTACTAGTAAAGATGTTGCATCTCATACAGCAACAACCACAGCTATTCTGATAGAGGACACAGATCTGCTAGGAAAACCATCTGAATCCACCATAATTAATGTTTCAGACACTCTGTTCTCTTCTCCTCAGACAGAACATTTAGACAAGACATTGTTTGAAAGCACAGTTACAATGACTTTGGAGAAGACAACTGCCAACGATCTACTGTCACCATCAAGTTTTTCTTCAAGTTTACCATCTACAGAATCTGAAGCTTTGGGAGATGAGACTTCTGATACGTTCATCAAAGAGTTCACAACGGCAAGTTCTTCACTCTCTCTTCAGACTGAACAGTTAGACAAGACATTGTCTGAAAGCACTGTTACAATGACTTTGGAAAAGACAACTGCCAAAGATCTACTGTCACCATCAAGTTTTTCTTCAGGTTTACCATCTACAGAATCTGAAACTTCAGGAGATGAGACCTCTGATATGTTCATCAAAGAGTTCACAACGACAAGTTCTTCACTTTATACTCCAACCAAATCAGACCATGAACTTAACAAAACATTGTCTGACATGACAGGAATAATCTCAGTTTCCAGCCCAACAGATACTGAAGCTATAAGAGATCAGACAACTGAGACACATAGTAGAGAACCTGTTTCCATTCTCGACTCAACAGGGAGAATCGTCACAAGTCAAGATAATACAACACATACAGGAGCAGTAACTGTGACGGAGGCAACAGAACAATCAACAAAGTCATCTGAGTTCACCATCACTGATGTTTCAGAGACTCTGTTCCCATCCACTCAGGCTAGACTTTTAGATGATAAATTATCTGAAAGCACTGTCAAAAGCACAATGACCTCGGAGAAGATAACAGTAAAAGATCAACTGTCACTTTCAAGTTTTACTTCAGTTTTGCCATCAACAGAGCCTGAAGCTACAACAGATCAGACAACTGAGACACATAGTAGAGAAACTCTAACTAGTGTTGAACATACATTTTCATCACTGAGCGCTGGGGACTCAACAGAAAAAACAGTTACAAATAAAGATTTTACACATCATACAGCTCCAACCACAGCTACTATGAGCGAGGACAAAGATCTGTCAGCAAAACCATCTGAATCCACCATTATTTCATCTGATATGACAGAAACAATCTCAGTGTCCAGCTCAACAGATGCTCAAGCTACAAGAGATCAGACAACTGAGACACAAAGTAGAGAAACTGTAACTAGTGCTGCAAATACATTTTCATCACTGAGCACTGGGGACTTAACAGGAGAAACAATTACAAGTAAAGACGTTACATCTCATACAGCAATAACCATTGGTGCTATGATGGAAGATGTTAAATCTCATACAGCAGCATCCACTGCTAGGAAAGATCTGTCAGCAAAACCATCTGAATCCACCATCATTAATGTTTCAGAGACTCTGTTCTCCTCTTCTCAGATGGGAAATTTAGACGAGACATTATCTGAAAGCACTGTTACAATGACTTTGGAGAAGACAACTGCCAAAGATCTACTGTCACCATCAAGGTTTTCTTCTAGTTTACCATCTACAGAGTCTGATGTTTCAGGAGATGACACTTCTGATATGTTTAACAAAGAGTTCACAACTACAAGTTCTTTATTTTATACTCCAACCAAATCAGACCAAGAACTTACCAAAACACCATCTGACACAACAGAAAAAATCTCAGTTTCCAGCACAACAGATGCTGAAGCTATAAGAGATCAGACAACTGAGACACATAGTAGAGAAACTGTTTCCTCTCTTGACTCTATTGTAACTAGTGCTGTACATACATTTTCATCACTGAGCACTGGGGACTTAACAGAAGAAACAGTTACAAGTAAAAATGGTACATCAAATATAGCAACAACCGCAGCTACTCTGATGATGGACAAAGATCTGTCAGCAAAACCATCTGAATCCACCAACATAAATTTTTCAGAGACACTGTTCTCCTCTGCTCAGACCGGACATTTAAATGAGATATCTGAAAGCACAGTCACAATGACCTCAGACCTCAAAGATGTCCTTTTACCATCAACTGTTTCTTCAAACTTGCCATCAACTGAGTTTGAAGGTTCAGGAGGTGAGACCTCTGAAATGTTTAGCAAAGAGTTCACAACCAGTTACTCATATTATGTTTCAAACAAATCAAATGAAAAACTCACCAAAACACCATATAACACAACAGAAGCAGCTTCAAAGTCTAGTTCAACAGATGCTGCTTTCACAAGCACAATGCCACCAAAGGAGACAACATCCAATGATTTTGTTTCACTGTCAAGTTTTACTTCAGTTTTGCCATCTTCAGGGTATAATGGTTCAGAGGCTGAGCCCTCTCATATGTTTAGTAAAGTGTTCACAACAAGTTCTTCACTTCAAATTACAACCAAATCAGACGATGGAATCACAAGTACTACAGCACAAAAAATGAAAGCTTCTGTGAAAATGCAAACAGAACAAACTAGCACACATACCCTTTCTACAGTACCTGCTATAGACCTGACCAGTGCAAGCTCAGTGTGGACCTCAACTGATGCAGATATCCCAAGAATAAAGCCAACAGAGAGACATCAAACAGAATCTGTTTCTTCTTTTGTCGCTAATATCTCAGAAGAATCAGTTCAGCAAGAGGTTTCCAGTGATGAAGACAGAATTACACTGACAACTAAAGCATATGATAATTATATTGTAGCCACTGATGAGGCAGAAATTCATGAGACTGGCCAAACATCAGAGCCAATGAGACCTGCAAGTTCTTCACATTCCACTTCATCAACAAATGAATTGTTTTCAAGCACAGTGCAAACAGTAGATACAGACTCATCTTCTGAACAAGGTAGTGGAGACATTTCAGAAAATGAAGTGGCTGAAGATGATGGCTCTGGTGAAATATCCTCTGCTGTTGTAGAATCAATACCTCGCCATGTTGCACCATCAGAGGACAAGACAACTGCTGTTGGTTTTGAGTCAACTCCTGCTTCTGCAGTGCAACCATCAGAAAATGTGACAGCAACAATAGATGTTACAACAACTGTGAGTGGAAAAGCTATACCAAGCTCATTTTTTACTCTCACAGAGGTAGAAGGTTCTGGTCAGCAGACACCAGAGATGTTCACCACAGCTCCCTCATCTATGATCACAAGTCAAGAGGTCATGATACCTCAAAGAGAGATTGTCTCTTCAATGACTGAATTTTCCATGATTAGTCACACAACTAAAGAAACCAGCACCCACCTTACAACAGAATCAGTTAGATCAAGTTATACAACAACAGAGCCTGTTAGTTCAAGACTCACCTCAGTGTCTTCTAGACCTTCTCATACTATTACCGAATTACAGTTGACTAAACACACCACAGAATCAATTATTAGTCCTACTGCAATTGGATCAGGTAAACTTAGTTTCACTTCAGTGGCAACAGTTGAATCTGACCACACTGCACCTTCAGGTATTCAAACGATGCCTGGTCCTTTTAAGCACATCCAAATATCAACAGTCACTGCTAGTTATGAAGCAACTTCAGCTCTTCTCAGGACAAAAACCATGTTTACATCTTCGAGTAAAAGCCAAAGCAAGCACACAACAATTTCATCTGATGCAGAGGATGATACAACAGATGATGAAGGATCAGGGGTCTCCCCTGTCATGCATGTTTCATCATCGGCCATCAAAACTCAGACTGGTTCTCCTACAGTTCATATAACTAGCACTGGCTTCACAGAACTAGACAGAGACATCACTATAACACAAAATTTAATCCCTATCATATCTGCCTCTGTAGAGAGTGAAGGCTCTGGTATTGCAGAAGATGACCAGGAAACTACTCAAGTGGATAGTTCTGGTGAAGGATTTAACAGAGTAAATCCAACAGATGAAATGTATGACAATTATACCGTGCCCACTGATGACATTGAAATCAGTGAGGCTAACCACACATCAGAGCTAGTGAGCTTTGTAAGTTCCTCCCATTCTACGTCCTTCACAACTAAATCAACATTGTTGTCTAGCACGGTCCAAACAACAGTGAGATTTTTATCTACTGAAGGTAGTGAAATAACAGCTGAAAGTGAAGTGGATGAAGATGGTGGCTCTAGTGGTGAAATATCACCATCAGCTCTTGAGTCAATTCCTCCTCAAGATACACCCACTGAGGACAAAACTACTTCAACTACAACCACACAACCACAGGAACCTGAAGCTGCAACACCTGCTGCAGAACTGACATCTGAGGCTTTATCAGTTTCAGAGACACAAAAGAGTACCTTACATTCAAGCACTCCAGATACTGACTTAAATAGGTTTGCATTATCAACCACAGAGGATGACAAGGAATTTACCTCACCACGAGATCCTACTGATGAAATATCCAAAACACTAACAACTAAGGCATATGAGGACCTAACTGTAAGAACCGACGAGGCAGAAGTTGATGAGACTGAGGAGAAAACAGGTTTCTTGAGTGCTGCATCTGTCACTGGCAGTACAGATTTCATACATCAGTCAATTTTATCTCCATCTCCCTCATTCCTAAGCTCCACCCAGTCAACTGTAACGTTTACAACTTCACTTTCAGAGGATGGCAGTGGGGAAGACTCAACTGAGGGGGATGGAGCAGAAGATGATGGATCAGGTGATGATACAACTCCTGTGACATCTTCACCTTTGCTATCAAGCTCAAAGATGACAGAAACAACGATTAGCCTTACACCCTTTAGCTCAGTCAAAAGTGGACAGTACAGTACAGCCAGAGTTGTTTCACAGGGACGCACAACAATTGAAATGCAGAGTGTGTTTTCAAGCACAAATGCTGAAGGTTTCGCTCTGGTGTCAGTGACAGCACCGACAGAGCAGGGACATTCTGGTGCTTCTGTCTCAGATTTAGCAGCAACTAGCTTTACAGCTCCAGGAACACCATCTGGTGTGATAACCAGCCACACTAAATTGCCTTCTTTCATGACACCTCAAGATCCTGTGTCCACTGCTACTCCATTGGTCTTCTCTAGGGACAGTGCTGATCAGCAAGTCACTCCAACAAGCCCAGTCTTAATATTCACAGAGGAGGAGGAAGATGAAGATAAGCTGTTTTCAACTGTAACAGAAAGTATGAGAGATCATAGCATCAAACCTGAAGTTTTCAATAAGGATGACATTATTATTGATGCAGATACTATGTCTGTTTTAGAGCAGTCTTCTCCCTTCGCCCCTACAATTGTTACAGAAGAAGCAGCTGTGGTAACCCCAATTGTCATGACGGCACAACCCTTAAGGTTTATGACAGAGGAACCAGAGGGATCTGGAATGGATGGCACTGAGTTACCTCAGTTACATGTGTCATTTGAAACCACAACAGACAGGTTAATAGTTCAACAAACCCAATCAACCCCAGACATCCTGCAGAGCAGTTCAACATATTTAGAAGAGGAAACACAAGAAACACAATCTCCCGAGGCTACTGATGCTGATGTACCTGAACACACACAAGATGGTCAGACCTCCACAGAATCCACAGAATTTACAATGGAGACACTGACTGATGTCTTCTCAGGAGACGCTTTGTCTACTGATGATTCTATTCTGGAAACTGATTTAACCCCCATGCCATCTCAAGTGTCCACAGACAGAGTCATAGAAATGGTCTCAGCTGAAGAGGACCCATCTGAAGTTGTATCAACACAAGCTTCCAAGACCAAAAACAAAACAATGCCACCAACAACCCTAAAAAGAAAGACAACACCTCTGCCACTACATACATCTTCTGAGGTGGAAGCTTCAAGTGAATTATCTGACCAATATGAACCTACTCAAACAACTATGTCCAGTCACCTTTTCACTTCATCCATTGCTGTTACAAGTAGTTCTCTTTATGTTGATTCTGTTTCACCTGAAGAGGAAATAAACTTTACTGGAGATTATGTAACATCTGCCTCATCAAGTTCTGGAGAAAGTGTTTCTTCACAACATCCAGATGAGATCACAGGCACTGAACAGCCAGTTTCTCCAGTATTGGATTTAACAAGCACTGCATCTTTCCATACTGCATCAAGTGCTAGCATGACTGAACCTGCCAAAACCACTACAAGTACATACACCAAAACAGCAGCAACAGATGATAATGACTTAACAGCTGACACAGAGGAAACATTATGCATGACAAGTGTTGATGACATTGAACTCAGTAGTCCCTCTACTGATAAGGCAATTCAGGGGAGTGATTTAACAAGCACAGATATATCATCTAGATCTGGTATTTCAGAGGAAACCACAAGTGCATTATTTTCTTCAACAGATTATGGCTCAGGGGACCAAACAATTGAAACAGTTACAGGACTGTCTGATTCAACAGACTCACCTTTAATAACTGAAGATGATTCAGTGACATCATCTATGGAGAGTGATAGTGTGATTTACTTTGCAACAACCCCTTTGCCTGAAGCAATTACAGTAACTGAAGGCGAACCATATCATCAAGCTTTGTCTGAGATGACAGTGACACATAAGCCCAACACAGACATCAGGATTGATGAAGACGTGCCATTGCCATCAACAACCATTCACACACCTCTTATATCTGCATCAAAGTTTAATACGACTATGGACATAGTAACATTAGTGGGATCTCCTTCATCTACACCCATACCAGGGCTGAGTGACAAAACAGTAGCTCCACTTTCCTCTGAGGAAGAGACAGATAACATAATAGATTATGATACAAAAACTGAACCTTACAATGTATATTCCATGCCAGATTTCATGAACAAAACAGACATCGACAATGACATTAGCTTAGAAGATGTGACTAGCATTGATGACATCACTCATCCTGAAGGTGAGAAGAGCTTCTCTACCTCACCACCTGATGCTGAGACAAGCTTTGAGACCACCTCAGAGCCTGATGTTGAGACTGGTTTTGAGACCACCTCACAGCCTGATGTTGTGACTGGTTTTGAGACCACATCACAGCTTGATGTGGAGAATGGTTTAGAGACCATCTCACAGCCAAATGTTGACACTGGTTTTGAGACCAGCTCACAGCCTGATGTTAAGACATGCTTTGAGACAACCGCACAGCCTGATGTTGAGACTAATTTTGAAATCACCTCACAGCCTGATGTTGAGACTAGTTGTGAAATCACTTCACAGTCTGATGTTGAAACTAGCTTTGAGACAACCTCAAAATCAAAAATTGACACCGACATTGAGACCTCAAAATCTGAGGAGGACAGTGCAACAAGTGTTGATGGAAACACACAAGCAGAAGTTTTGAATACTGAGACCACCTCTCAGCTTGACACGGAAACAAGCTTTGAGACAACCATGCAACCAGACATTGAGAGTGAAACTACTTTTGAGAGTGGCTCAAGAACTGAGAGTGATGCTTCAGTCACCAGGTCACCAAACAGTGGAACAAGTAGTTCAGAGAAAAGCACACCTGGAGAGGTAAACACCATATTATCTGATAAGCATCACACCACAGCAAGACTTTCTGATATCACAGCTAAACCAAGTTCCACTGCTACAAGTGAAGAAAAATTATTGGAAGAAAGAGTTGAGCATACAACCCAATCCAAACAAAATGACACAGGATTCAGGACCACCACACAACCTCAATATGATGGTTCTGTAACTTCCAGTAGTTTGAAGAGCAGCTCAGAGAAGGATTCAGTTGTCATCCCATCATCTGATGAGGTTCAGGTAGTAATTCTGTCTACTGCAACAGCCTCACCTTTTCTTCTGACACCTGAGTCTGATATAAAGATTGACAGTAAGGAAACTGCCTCAAGGAAACAAGAAGCAGCTGGTCAGATTGAGGAAGCTGTAACTCTTACAACTGAGATTCCAATTCAAGAAGAAGATCAGATGACATCATCAGTACCTACAACCCAAAGTGAGACTGCAACACCATTTTCCTCCCATGAAGACGTTTCTGAGGCCACTTTGGTTAAAAGCTCACCTCCAAGTGCACAGAATGAAAGCACAACACACAGTACAGCAGACCTTCCATACACAATGATCGGACAGACATTTGATATTCCAGGTAGGTTGTAAACACTGTTTTAAAGACCAAATTAACTGAATGCATATACTGTACTTTCAATAGTTATACCAGTATTCTTGTTTTGCACGTGCACAATGACATGCCTCTATATCTTCCCTCTCTCACTCCAGATGTTCATTCCTGTTCTGATGATGTTTGCTTGAATGGCGGTTCTTGTGTAAAAATAGTCGGTGCTCAGATCTGCAGCTGTCCACCTGGATACAGTGGTGACCAGTGTGAAATAGGTATCAGTGTTTCATTCTTTTTATTAAAGGTGCACTACAGAACTTTGAGCTCAATATTGCCATCTGTGGCGAAACATAAAATGACAAGTTACTTGACATATTTTGCATGAGCTGTGCTTCACACTGCTGTTCTGCATCGATGAATTTGATCATTTGAGCAATGAAGTAGCATATCTGATGCTATAGTACCAGACCTTCTTTACTCTGTTCATGGAAATGATGTAACTATACCAAGGTAAATGTTCAAAATATAAATTATTATTGTATACTTAACTGTTTTTGTCTTACCCTGATTCAGTAAGGTATCAAACACTTATTTTTAATTCTCAATAATGGGATTTTGCAAATTTTTTACACCCAAAAAAGTCTTCTGTAGTCACCTTTAAATTCTTATTAACTCCCAACTAATTGTAATGCACTTAAGTACATTATTTACTCACCTTATTATTTTAATTTATTTGTTTAATAGACATCGATGAATGTCAAACAAACCCTTGTCGTAATGGAGGAACATGTATTGATGGCCTGAACTCATTCACCTGTGTATGTCTTCCGAGTTATGCAGGAGCACTGTGTGAGAAAGGTAAGATTATATTTAACATATAATCTCTTGTTCAGTTCAAAGGTCACAATACTAAATCTGTCAACTTGCTAATAAGGCGTGAAGCTACTGTAGCCACAGAGACAGCTGTGGAGATGTACCATTTGAACCTCTAAACTTTTATATGAGGTCATCGCTAATAAAAAATACTCAGACGTGCTTGGCAGATATGGGTTTGGTAAATGTGACTCATGATTTGGTAGATCCTAATAGATAATAGATTTTTACTTGATGTAAGTAACTGGGTTTGTTCCAAAACCATTGCATGCTAGCAGACAGACATAATGATGCTGCACTTTCCACTATTTAAGAGGATACAGTTTTTTTAACCTTCTTATTTAAGCACAGCTGTTAAGACCATTAGACTTTCCCTTATTACTCTGTAGATGTTAATTTACACTTTACATGAGTGAGATTACTTTCTTGAGAGTTTTATTCCCTTTAAAGTATTGTAAATTCTTGTACACATTAAAATGCTAACAGCAAAATCTCTTCAGTTCAACTCGCATCAGGCTTTTGTTAAAATAAAAACAAATACATTTTTACGTCATGAGTGCATTACCATTTTGAGTACTCTGAACATGATTTTCATCTCAAACTTGAGATAGCACCAACACTACAGACGCAAAGAAGTGTATCCTGCACTGAAACTGCCTCCTGTTACTACCTGTTACTGCCTCCTGTGATTCAGATTGACTCAGATTGTAAGTGTAAGTGGTTTAGTCTCAGAGTGTAAGTGCTCAGACATAGCTACTCACAGAGAAAGCAGAAAGGCAGAAAATGCTGCTAAATGCAATCTATGCTAAATTAAGTAACATGTCATTATTTAAAGTCATAAGCCAACATAGCTTCATGTATTGTCACTTGTATTTGTACTGATATGTTATGGATGATTTAATGCTTGATATATTAATGAGAGTTTTAATAGTTTTATTCTTTGGTAGCTGTAATTTATTCTTTGTTGCAGTAGTGACACATTAGAACCTGACATTTCCCCTCCTGCATGTTAATTTGCAGAAGGTTTATTAACATGCACTAACATTAGTGGTTCTGTCAGGGCAAGTCTGCTATAATCACAGTGATTTCAAATAAGGAATCAAAGCTTTCAGCTTGACGTCGAACAGCCCTGGGTTTGTCCACAAACAGTCAGTAAGTGTGCTTACAAGCACTTTAAAGGTTTGATTTCAGTTGGACTAAAACAATAATTTGTCTTTTTAAAATATCATGTGAGTCTGACTGAAGTTGTACAAGCAGACTGTAGCAAAAAAAACCAGCTTTATCTTGATTGTAACGGCGCACATAAACATACTTGCTGTGACTGATAGGACACACTTTATTTGCAAATGTAATGTGATCATTGTATCAAATGCTGATCTAGGTACTTTAAAATCATTTGTCAACAAGACTAATAAATTGCTGGGTTCATAATATGCTTACTTTAAAACTTTGAGTTTCCCAAATGGTTACAGCCATATAAGTGGCTGTTTGTTTTTACAGGTCAGCTTTGCTCCAATACCTCTTTCTTAAACAATGCCTCAGAGCAAGGCACCCAATCTGTAGACATTCTTATGCAGAAATGAATTGGCTTCCAGATATGATAGACACATGGGTGTAGCTCTTGCTCTAATTGATCTCGTTTAGCTGACATGTAATTTAAAATGAGGATGAAAGGGAGTTATAACATGGTCCCTCAGGTCCAGTGTGAGTGGGAAATCATTCTCACTTGAAAAGAGGTTTGATTTATTGTACTGATAACAGCCTCACAGTGTAAGCCCAAAGGTAAAGGACTAATAAAAAGAAATTGACCGTAGACAATATCAAGCACCTTTTTTTTCACTTACAGCAACAGTACTATCTCAGTTTCAGTGTCTACATGTCAAGTTTATGTGTAGTACATCAACAATAATTCACACATGATTTTCTGCAGACACTGAAACATGCAGCTATGGCTGGCACAAGTTCCAGGGCCACTGCTATAAATTCTTTCCTCATCGGCATAACTGGGACACAGCAGAGCGGGAATGTCGCCTCCATGGGGCACACCTGGCTAGTGTCCTGTCCCATGAGGAGCAGCAGTACATCAACCGTGAGTATACATAAACCAAGTTATGGTCATTCTGTCTAATATCATCAGCTCTAACTTATGCCATCGATTACATTTACATGCAAACTAACAGTTATTTATTAGGAAGGATACTGTTTTGTTTCCATTTTTTTTTTCATTAGTTTTTTGTTTTACTTCTCACTACAAAAGTTTTTAGAGTTATGGAATATTCCATTGGTTCAGGAATTTTTAGCCAAAGAGTTTAAAGAAAGGTTAGTATATCACCAATAAAAAAGGGCCAAATGCTCATCCAGCCCTAGATGCAGGAAGTGTGATGTATAAGAACAAATATGCCCTTTATTTTTAACCACTGACAAAGAGTTCCTAATATGTCTGATGAATTGACCTTTGTTTCTCTCTCCCCTTGTAGGCCTCGCCCATGACTACCAGTGGATCGGTTTGAATGATAAGATGTTTGAGAATGATTTCCGGTGGACGGATGGTAGTGTTGTGGTAAGACCATTCTTCAAAACTTGCTTATTAGTTTCTCAAAGTATGTTTTGGAAAGATGGTGTTGATACACACATCTATTAGTGGACAATGTAGATGCAATATTTATAATATTTATTTATAAAGTTTGCTTGTATTTTCCATGATGCTTGCAGATTTTTTTTTCTTTAAAAAGCAATTAATTTAAATAACATTTGGAATTTTTAGCAAGAATTTGTAGATGTGAAAAAAGGAAAACAGCAGACATATGTCACTATCTCCCTGGTTCTAGAGGTGTTCCTCAATTGAATAGGAAAGTGGCTAATTACAGTCGTTTAGTCCTGACCAGGCTCTCACTTCAAAGATAAAGGCAGCATTTTGTGGGGAAGGGCCAGAAAGCCCTGGAGGGCAGGAGATAGGAGTTTTCATCTGTGGAAGTCCTCTCAGGACTGGAGGATCAAAATAAAACGAGGATAGAGGAAGGTCACAGGTGTGGACAGGTAATGGAGGTGTGAAGGATGAGCAGCACCTGGAACAGGCTGCACTAGATATAATCCAGACCTAAAATGTGAGTGTGTGACAGTTCAATCCAGTTGGCATCAGCGAGGGGTTATAAACATGTCCACAGAGTTTGCAAGCACTCATATAGTATTCTGTATACAGAAGAGTTACTAAATTAAGTGTTTATGTTTGTTAATGTATTTAAGTATGTGACGTTGGAGTTATCCAGAGGGTAAAAAATTGCCATCATCAATTTAATAAATTGTCATAAATTTCATAAATTTTCAAGCAGGAACTGCACATTCCTTTTGAAAGAGGATAATAACAGGACTTGTTGGCCGATTTGTGTTTGAAGACTAGGCAATATTTAAAGGGTTGCTGAAAGACCAGAGCGCCAACCTGTCTCGATTGGGTATAATTACTTAATGTTTCATATATGTGCAAACTTCACTGTTTTAATTTAAGTAACAACAAAAAAAAAAAAACAGGTATAGAAGACTGCCAATAAACATTTAATTCATATTATTATGGTTAAAGCAATATACTGTACAAGTTGAGCTCAGCATAGTAAGTGTATTATTAGTTACTTTCTTTATAGGTTGGTCTTTTCAATTGTTATTCTCCTTTGAGTGCATACGTCCACAGTTGAGAGAGATGACTGATGACATCATACCTGCATCGTGTGGTGTGTGCAAGGGGGAAATACAGTGTATAAAGTTTGTCCATGGTAGTTGAATATAGATGTATTACTATAAGTATACTATAACTACTACCTTCCAAATGCATAACACCACTCCCTGCAGCTCATTGCAGTTTAATGTTGATGTATGTACTTAGCGCCCCCTACTGGAGTGTGCCTGTATCCTTATCATTTTATTGACTTTCTGTACTCCATACATAGAAAGTCATACTCTGTTTATAAGCTTCCCACTTTGTTACATTTGCATAAACCAAGTTAAGGTCATTCTGTCTAATATCATCAGCTCTAACTTATGCCATCGATTACATTTACATGCAAACTAACAGTTATTTATTAGGAAGGATACTGTTTTGTTTCCATTTTTTTTTTCATTAGTTTTTTGTTTTACTTCTCACTACAAAAGTTTTTAGAGTTATGGAATATTCCATTGGTTCAGGAATTTTTAGCCAAAGAGTTTAAAGAAAGGTTAGTATATCACCAATAAAAAAGGGCCAAATGCTCATCCAGCCCTAGATGCAGGAAGTGTGATGTATAAGAACAAATATGCCCTTTATTTTTAACCACTGACAAAGAGTTCCTAATATGTCTGATGAATTGACCTTTGTTTCTCTCTCCCCTTGTAGGCCTCGCCCATGACTACCAGTGGATCGGTTTGAATGATAAGATGTTTGAGAATGATTTCCGGTGGACGGATGGTAGTGTTGTGGTAAGACCATTCTTCAAAACTTGCTTATTAGTTTCTCAAAGTATGTTTTGGAAAGATGGTGTTGATACACACATCTATTAGTGGACAATGTAGATGCAATATTTATAATATTTATTTATAAAGTTTGCTTGTATTTTCCATGATGCTTGCAGATTTTTTTTTCTTTAAAAAGCAATTAATTTAAATAACATTTGGAATTTTTAGCAAGAATTTGTAGATGTGAAAAAAGGAAAACAGCAGACATATGTCACTATCTCCCTGGTTCTAGAGGTGTTCCTCAATTGAATAGGAAAGTGGCTAATTACAGTCGTTTAGTCCTGACCAGGCTCTCACTTCAAAGATAAAGGCAGCATTTTGTGGGGAAGGGCCAGAAAGCCCTGGAGGGCAGGAGATAGGAGTTTTCATCTGTGGAAGTCCTCTCAGGACTGGAGGATCAAAATAAAACGAGGATAGAGGAAGGTCACAGGTGTGGACAGGTAATGGAGGTGTGAAGGATGAGCAGCACCTGGAACAGGCTGCACTAGATATAATCCAGACCTAAAATGTGAGTGTGTGACAGTTCAATCCAGTTGGCATCAGCGAGGGGCTATAAACATGTCCACAGAGTTTGCAAGCACTCATATAGTATTCTGTATACAGAAGAGTTACTAAATTAAGTGTTTATGTTTGTTAATGTATTTAAGTATGTGACGTTGGAGTTATCCAGAGGGTAAAAAATTGCCATCATCAATTTAATAAATTGTCATAAATTTCATAAATTTTCAAGCAGGAACTGCACATTCCTTTTGAAAGAGGATAATAACAGGACTTGTTGGCCGATTTGTGTTTGAAGACTAGGCAATATTTAAAGGGTTGCTGAAAGACCAGAGCGCCAACCTGTCTCGATTGGGTATAATTACTTAATGTTTCATATATGTGCAAACTTCACTGTTTTAATTTAAGTAACAACAAAAAAAAAAAAAACAGGTATAGAAGACTGCCAATAAACATTTAATTCATATTATTATGGTTAAAGCAATATACTGTACAAGTTGAGCTCAGCATAGTAAGTGTATTATTAGTTACTTTCTTTATAGGTTGGTCTTTTCAATTGTTATTCTCCTTTGAGTGCATACGTCCACAGTTGAGAGAGATGACTGATGACATCATACCTGCATCGTGTGGTGTGTGCAAGGGGGAAATACAGTGTATAAAGTTTGTCCATGGTAGTTGAATATAGATGTATTACTATAAGTATACTATAACTACTACCTTCCAAATGCATAACACCACTCCCTGCAGCTCATTGCAGTTTAATGTTGATGTATGTACTTAGCGCCCCCTACTGGAGTGTGCCTGTATCCTTATCATTTTATTGACTTTCTGTACTCCATACATAGAAAGTCATACTCTGTTTATAAGCTTCCCACTTTGTTACATTTGTGGTGTTCTCGATTAAAAATTACTGCCCTACAAAAATTGCTTATCAATTTATTGTTATGCTATATTATTACCAAATTGTGGATTTAATCTTTTTATCAACTTGTTTTCTTTCAATTAGCATAGGTTTTGTATTTCTTTTTGTAACTGGTTGATTGTAGACCTCATTAATCTGAGCTTATGCACCTCGGTTTTTGAGTGAACATTGCCAAGATCCAAGAAGAAAAACAAATCCTGTGCTAACTGAACGAAAACAAGTTGACAAAAAAAAAGAAAAAAAGAATGATAATATAACATAATAAGAGATTGACAAGCTATTTTTTTAAATGAAAATGTGCCTTAATAAATGTTCTTAAAATCCAAATGTAGATGAGCTATAATAGTGCAACTGCCATAAATATTATAGAATTCAGTATGATTCTTCAAGTTTACAAGAACCACAAATGTATGCAGACATCCCGTTGCTTACTGAACAAATGAGAAACCATACATATGGATGTAAAAGAATATGTAAAGCACAAGCAGTATATTGCTGTTTTGAGCCAGGTACAATTTCTTTTAAACACTCCAAAAATACACTGTCATAACTCAAAGTGTATCATAATCAGGGGTTAAATTGGGCCGGGGCTGTCCGGGGCTGAGCCCCGGCACATATGCTTACCCTGGTAACTCATCAGAGGACTTTCCTCGTACATTTTCAACATTATAGGCTATAGTTTTAAACACTTCACTCGTTCTTACTAATCCAAGCAATGATGTGACACAGGTGTTTTTATATGTATCTCTGAAAGGAACCGAGTGTCTTCAAAAGGTTTCGATTGCATTTAAGCTTTATCTGAAAAAGGAGCGTTCATGAGTGCAGCGCTGCTTTGTTTACAGCCATTACCGGGGAAACCGCTATATTTGTTCTAAAAGCGCCTCCTACTGGCAGAGAATCAAATTGGATTTTCAATAAGCCTGTCTGCTGTTTTCCCCATCTGCTCATAAAACCCTGTTTTAAATGAATAAAATAATTTATACTTCTGACTGAAAAAAAAAAACTACTTCTGAAAATGGTTTAAAAACTGAAATGTGAGGTTTATCATTTTAGATCTATTTATTTTTGTTTTTGTGAGAACCTGAATCTCTACTGTAATTAAATCATGTGTTTACAGTCATTTTACAGTTTAATATGTTACCATAGACATTGCCCTACCCTGCTCATATGGTATTAATAAAAAAAAATAAAAAAAAATGTTAAGGTCTTAAAAAAAGGTCTTAAAAAGTCTTACATTTGATTTTAAAAATCCTACAGACAAATGTAGCATTGCACTCTGCCAGCATCTAGAATGATTTTGATCAGCATTTTAGTGTTCATAACAGAGGGCTCTCTCAACTTGTTATATTTTACATAATTTGTCAATTGATATAATTGTTAATTGTTACAATATAATTACAAAATAATTGTTAATTGTTTGTTAATTGATTTTGTATGCTTTGCATACACATGTGTGTACCCCTCAAAAGCCTGAAACCACAGAGCCCCCCCACATAACAAATACCAATTTAACCCCTAATCATAATCATATAATTATTATAACATATCTGAAACTTATTTCTATAGGATTATTGTCTTCCTCTCATTGCCATTCTCATCTCTATCCATATTCTTCCCCTGCAGCAATATGAAAACTGGAGACCAAACCAGCCGGACAGTTTCTTTTCCTCAGGAGAGGATTGTGTGGTAATGATCTGGCATGAGGATGGCCAGTGGAATGATGTTCCCTGCAACTACCACCTCACCTTCACCTGCAAGAAAGGCACAGGTGAGCTTTTAGCACCTGGATGAGGGGTATTTAAAGAATAATAAGTCATGCATACAGTAGGTAGATATTTATTTTCAGTTTAAATTCCATCTGTGGTATTTGAACAAAATTATATTTATAACAAGGAGTACAATGGGGAATCTGTGAAACTTTGACTGCTATACCCTAATATACTGTATATCTATGGTCGTTTATAGACAGGAATCTAACATGAGATGAGTTGTTTCGGATTTTTCTGCAGTGGTTTAAAGCAGACAAAATTTTAAAAAATAACATGTCAGATTCTGTACTCCATTGCTAATGGTTACTCTGTTATGTGCCGTTGTCAACAGTGTCCTGCAGTCAGCCTCCTCTTGTCCTTAACACCCGCACATTTGGCCTGCTGCGCCCACGCTATGAGATCAACTCACTGATCAGGTACCAGTGCATGGATGGCTTCATCCAGAGACATGTTCCCACCATTCGCTGCAGAGGAGACGGCACATGGGATTTGCCAAGGATTTCCTGCATGAGTCGTAAGTATTCTGTGAAAACCCAACACAACTTTTTTACAACAACCATCCCTTTAGAGCTTGAATGATCATTCTGGCCTAGATACTATAAACAATACAGTGGTGTGAGTTTATTATATATATGAGTTTATATATACACTACCATTCAAAGGTTTGGGGTCGGTATGCTCTTATGCTCACCAAGGCAGCACTTGATTGAAAATACAGTAAAAACAGTAAGATTATGAAATAGTATTACTAATATTATAATTTAAAATAAATGTTTTCTGTTTTAATATATTTTGAAATGTAATTTATTCCTGTGATGGCAAAGCTGAATTGCTTTAGTCTTCAGTGTCACATGATCCTTCAAAAATCATTCTAATATGTTATTTTGGTGCTCAAGCAGCTTATTATCATCAATGCTGAAAACTGTTGTGCAGCTTAATATTTTTGTGGGGAAAAAAATCCTTACTGACCCCAAACTTTAAAACAGTAGTGTACTGTACAATATATATTCTTATAGATTAAAATGGCTTAGTTCTAATTTAATTTAATGTACTTATATTTCCTTTCCAGCCTCCAACTTCCAAAGGTCATATGCAAGGTATCAGACATACAGAGTTTTTCGCAGTCACCGGAAGAGATCAGCAGAAAAGTCTGCTGATGTTCTCCAAGGACACCATCGCCATGGTGTAAAACACAAACAGTTGCTATGGTAACACCACCCTAATGCAAGGACCCTTTTAATATTTTTTGATAGCATAAGACAGATCTGCCTGCTGGCTGAGAGAAAAGATTATAAAAGAATAGATTATGAAAAGGACCAGAAAAAGGGTCAACACAGAGTGGAGTATCACTGGAATGAAACAGTAGCTTTTATCTTTTAAGAGAGATGGTTTTTAAGAACTACATAATGGACACATATTCAGCTGGCCTCTGAAAACGAAAAGATTATCTGACCTGCCCTCCATCTGTTCTGCTTCTTTTGGGGAATACACAGTGCCTTCATAAATTATAACTTTCAATCCAGATGTAAGTGAGCTATAATAGTGCAACTAGCATAAATATTATGGTTCATGGTATTTTAGCCTATAAACATAATGGTACATTTTGATACACACTTTGCCACATGATTCTTTCAGTCTTTTTTCAAGTTTACTAGAACCACAGGTGTATGCAGGCATCCTGCTGCTTACTGAACAAATGAGAAATCATACACATGAATGTGAAAGAAAATATATTTATATAGGCAGAGTGAGCAATGGCTCACATGGAGGCAGTGTTTGTTGTGGTATAAAAAGGCCAATAATCTCATTAAAAAAACTGCATCCAATGCAGTGAATGGTTTTGATATCTTAAAGTCAACACAATATGGTTTAATACTTTCAATACTTTGACTTTAAGCTATTAATTGAAAAGCCATGAAGATTTCAGGTTATGAATGCACATTTCAATTCACATACATTTAATTCCACCACCATTCATCTATAAACCAAAGAAACTTACTGTATTTACTTAACATCATTTTCATCAACTTTCATGTTTTTTCACAGACAGTTTAAAACTACTTTAAAGAGAATGTACTTTGTGAGATGTTTAAAAGACTTGAATGAATGCCTTTTTAACAAGATATATAATTATAATTTATTATAATTATATATCTATAATTTATATAGCCTATAATTTATTTCTCGAGGTGCTCCTTGTCTTTTCATTGTTGTAGCAAAATACAACACGCTGAGGATTTCACTTGGCCAAACTGCACATTGACAGTGTGTTAATAGCTGGCATTGATGTGGCTAATAGATGAAATTTGGAACTCACAGAATTTAGATAGATTTCATTTTGACATTTGAGGTGTATCAATGGACCAAAAGAAGAGGATTCATAGTAACAGCTTTAACAGCAATTTTTGTTGAACTGGTCATCCATTTGTTTTTTCCAAGCATTTTTTTCTTTTCTTTTGTGTGCTTGTATGTTTTTTTATTTTTGAGGTTTATTGTCAAATGTGATTGTCTGGAATGTTTGTGAAATGGAAAAATTGTAAGGAACGTTTTTATGCCTTCTATGTAAACAAAGTTTATTATATTCTACTTGCATTCCTGGTCTTTTTCGGTTCTGATATGAACTGAGTTTTGGCATATAGGAAGGGCTTAATGGTAGACATTAACAATATGGGATGTACAGTATTTGATTTAATTTTAAATGGACAAATCTAATATATAATATACGATTAATCTATACAACAATACAAAAATATAGACTGTGACAGGAGTAAGTGAACTGTATGTTTAGTGTAACTGAAGTATGTGGTTCATCAGCACTGCCTGATGTTAACCACCAGATGGTATCGGTTCACTAACATAAGAACATTTGAACATCCGAATAATTCTACCAGATGTACCATTACTGTAAATAATGTTTTGCAAAGCTGAATTTCTCTAAAACATTAATGATACCATGCCAGTTTTAATTACTGTAAAACCTTTTAAATATAGAAAACACCTTAAAATTGTCTTTGGCTATTTTTTATTATTTTTAATTAGTTTCTAGATGAAAAGGAAATAAAAGAAAACAAAGATAAAAGGATATAACCAAACACTTAGGTAGCCTGTGAGGTTGTTTTTTTCTTTTATTTTCTTTTAATGGTTTCAGTGGTGAAGTTAAACTTCAGAACATAGATCGTTTTGTAGTCAAGACCACCTAATACGAGACCAAGTTGAGACCAAAACCAAGACCAATGTGTGTTGAGACCAAGGCAAGACCGGACCAGCACTACTCAAATTCATCTGGAAGATCCACATTTAATTCTGACCCAGCATGACAGTATAAATCATTGGTTCTCAGCCAGGGGGCTGGGGCCCACTAGGGGGCCTCAACAAACTTCCAAAGGTGCCTTAAGATGACTTATTTAAAATGATTTTAAATAAGACAAAACAAGCAATAAGATAAACTAAAACAACAAAAACAAAACATTTAAGATATTTCTTAATATTTGGTTATTTTTTTATAATGAATAGGCCTATACATCTTTCTAGTCATGCTAAATCTAGCGTAGCATTAGTTCTGGCAGGTCACGTTAGTCAAGCTCGCATCAGCTGACTCTCAGCTGAGACCCATCTACCTATAGGAATACGACACCTATCTAAGCATTCAAATATAATGTCCCTCAGTATTATTAGCAGTTTTCGCATTGCTCAATAGCTAATTACCCTCCTCCATCCCCAACTCCTCCTCTGTCAGTCAGGATTCAGCCTTCTGATTCTCCTTTGAATTAGACTAATTCTAAAATGTGTACATAACATTATAGAACTTTAATGATATCTGCAATACATTTATGTTGGTTCTGTTCTGTTTACCCTGGGGGGTTATCGCTGCTCTCCCTGCTCTCATCCATGCTAGGCTGCATGGATGCGCAGGGAGTTCTTGCCCAGAACAGAACCATACCGCCAATCCAAACTGTATGCTAATTGTCAATCATCTTTGATGATAGTGGTCCTGGCAGAAATACTAAAATATGTTGGGTGAGTGGAGGGGGGCCTTCAAATATTGTTGTGAACAATAGGGGGACCTCAAGTCAAACATTGAGATCCACTGGTATAAATCTAATTATTTATTATTGTTCTTTAGTTATTTAATTAGTTATTGATTGCATTTGAAGAGGAAAGTTTTACATCCAGTCAGAATAATGATGGTTATAAATAAATGTAGTGATTTAGTGATATCCCCATAGTTGTGTTCTTGACCGGTTAAAACAAAATCCCGAATCTTCTTAGTCTAAGGCCAAGACAAGACAGAGTACAAATGCGGTCGAGACAAGACCAAGACCTTCAAAAAATGGTCTTAGGACTGGTCTCAAGACCAAGACAGCGTACTACAACACTAAACATAGATTTGGGACATAATTATTTGGGTTGGATTGTGTGCCAAAATGTTCTTGAGCTAGGCATTTTTTCTAAATAAAAATTAAAATTTTCTAGGCTCAAGTTTCACAAAAAAAAAAAAAAAATGAAAAATCGCCAATCCAAACTGTATGCTAATTGTCAATCATCTTTGATGATAGTGGTCCTGGCAGAAATACTAAAATATGTTGGGTGAGTGGAGGGGGGCCTTCAAATATTGTTGTGAACAATAGGGGACCTCAAGTACAACATTGAGATCCACTGGTATAAATCTAATTATTTATTATTGTTCTTTAGTTATTTAATTAGTTATTGATTGCATTTGAAGAGGAAAGTTTTACATCCAGTCAGAATAATGATGGTTATAAATAAATGTAGTGATTTAGTGATATCCCCATAGTTGTGTTCTTGACCGGTTAAAACAAAATCCCGAATCTTCTTAGTCTAAGGCCAAGACAAGACAGAGTACAAATGCGGTCGAGACAAGACCAAGACCTTCAAAAAATGGTCTTAGGACTGGTCTCAAGACCAAGACAGCGTACTACAACACTAAACATAGATTTGGGACATAATTATTTGGGTTGGATTGTGTGCCAAAATGTTCTTGAGCTAGGCATTTTTTCTAAATAAAAATTAAAATTTTCTAGGCTCAATTTTCACAAAAAAAAAAAAAAAATGTATAATGATAAAAATATAGAGTTTAAAATGAAAACTAAGTCTGACAGCTAGAAACTAATGTGATGAGGTACACTTGTGTTCATTCTGCTAGAATACCTTTTTGAATTGACCATACATCCACTATGACCTTGGGATCAGTTGCTTAAAACTTATCGCGAAAAGGTTATTAGTTCTGCAGAAAGTAAACATCTAGCATAATTTGCTGGAAGTTACCATTTAGTTTGATATTTTGTTTTGTATTGTAATTACATTTAGATATTGCACTTAGTGTACAACATGGAATCTCTTGTCAACTTTGTGGATTATAGATTTGTAAATACATCACACAGTGTAATGTAGAAGGAAAAACAGAGACACTTTTGATGCGCCTTGTGTTTTTGAAGTCCCATTGCCATATTTTAATTTGACACGAATGTATTTCCCTGCTGGTACCACTGTGTCATTGTTCGTTAATACTCATGGTTTTCTCATTTAAGACTTGGAAGACACTTTGCTATTTTCCATTGCATAATTATTTTATTTATTTCGTTTTTAAACAACTGGAATTAATTTACATGTAAAAAAGGCAGAATTAGTCACAGAACATTGCATAATTGTTGCAAGCTTTCTCTGCAAATGCTTCCAAAGCTTCTCATAGATCTATAGTTGAGATAGTGCTACTCTAAATAAACTAACAATAACCTCATACGCACACACACACACACAGGAATTATCTATCATTAATTCATTACAATGATGGAAATGCATAATGGTTTAGATACAAAATATCTGTAACACGATAATAACGCTCTGTTCTCAAAAGCAATAGTAGATACTATGCAATCCGTTTATTTCAATTTAATTTAATAGTATGTGTTGGGAAATTTAGGCCATGCCTAGCCAAGCTGGCATTCATACTACAATGAACACTGTGTTCTCAGCTTCTGGGCCTTCAAAATCCATAGTTATAGACACTGTAGAATTATCACAGCATAATGGAGAGTAAAACAAAAGCCATTTAATGTTTTAATGGGTTTTTATTTTTCATTTAAAATGTGCTTTGATTCATAAACCATACAATGCATTTCAGATTTAAAAAAAAAAAGAAATTTTGTGCATAAAAAAAAGACAAAATCAAGCAAAATGTCACTTATGTGCACTGTGGAGTTATAAGTGTAGAATCTTTTCCCCTCCCATAAACAACATATATCATTACAAAGTGGCAAGTAATAGATGTTTCGTTCATCAGTAAACAGATCTCATTATCTAAAGTCGTCCACACTATGCCTGTCACAACATTCCAAGGTTACTGTTAGAATCAAACTTAGGCATGATGTTGTACATGGCTTTTAGTGCTGTTCCTCTTTCTCACAGCATTACAATATTAGACTTATTCATATCTACACTTAAGCAGGCTCAAGTTAGTCTTGAAGTTAGTTGAATATACAACTGGGTCCTAAAATAATCTCTCAGTGTAAATTCTCTTTGTAGTTCTCTGCCATATAACAAAGTTAAATTCATCATTAGCAGTCTGTCAAATTCTGTTACTGTTTGTGATGAAATACTTGTCAAAATCTATGCAGGGACAAATACATTTAAACAGTTTTTAAAAACTTCAAGGCCATCAAAGATAAGAACTGAAAAATAACAAGCTTCTCATGATTAGATAGGTAAGAAAATACATCACAATATTTCAAACAAAGAGTAGAAATGAGGAATGAGTGTTACAATGAAACAATATAATTAGTTATGAATATAAAGCCTTGTAACACAACAGGCCAAACACATTCATTTTATATTTCAACAGATAAAATAAGATCACAGTTCAGAACATTGAATAATACACCAACACAAGAAAAATAGTTTTAAAGAAATTAGCATTTGAAAAGTTTTAGAAAAAGAAAGGTGTCAGGTCCATTTACGATGCCTTTGCTTTTCTGTTTGGGCAAGTTTCAAAAACTTTCTGTCAAGTTTATACTATTTAGTAATATTTAAATATTTTATTGCAATATCACAATGGAGATTTTTGACAAACTCACACTTAACCTACTAAAAGCGGATTTGATCAAAATGCTATGACTTCAAATTTCCTTCCAGCTGAATATCCTTTCTGAATGCAATTTGTTGTGCATACATGTGGTGTACAATCTATATAAAATGTATATGGTAGATAAAATAACTGTTTACGTTAATATTGAGAATGTATGGTCTTTATAGTATCCTCTCTATAATTGTCACAGTTATGGCTAGTTCATGCAAAAAGTCCTTCATAAGTGTGGAAGTGGAAACCTGTGTATTGCTGCTCTTTGGCTGGTGATGTGACGTGAAGAGCTTCACGGCTGAGGTTTGTAGCAGTAGACACCGTACAGCTTCTGCTTTTTGTCGGGGAAGCCAACAAAGCGAACCGCAGCCTCTGTGGGACTGCAGTTCTTCCTAGGCCTGGAGATCGGATAACGAACGCTACCGTCAGCCAGCCAACCGGCATCACAGCGGTCATACCCCTGCAGCTTCCAGGCAGCATATATATGGCCCACCTTTGCGATCTCAGCTCCATCTCTCTTACACGTGTTAACGGCCTCATCAAAGTTCAGCTTTTTGGGCTGGATCAGATAGTAAAAGCGTCCTGTGATGTAAAACAAAGAGTTTCATGGTTGTGGACACAGACACTACTAAATGGTATGCTCAATTTTATACTAGAATTGAATTGATTAACTCACCTTTAAGGCTGGCTGTGAAGCAGAACACGTCATAACGGCTGTTGGACTTGTCCTGTCGGCCATAGTTTCTCAGTCCGGCTGAAGTCCTCACGCCTCCGCAGGGCTCTCTGGGTTTGGTGATGGGGTACTTCACGGTTCCGTCATTGAGCCAGCCAGCATTGCACCAATCCATCCCATTTCTCCATTCCCCATAGAGCTGCTCGAAGGAGGCGACCACAGCGTCCTGCTCCAGACATGCGGTCTCAGCATCTTGGAAGTTGAGGTTGTACCGCCCCAGACGAGGGGAGTATGGGAGACAAAATCAAGCAAAATGTCACTTATGTGCACTGTGGAGTTATAAGTGTAGAATCTTTTCCCCTCCCATAAACAACATATATCATTACAAAGTGGCAAGTAATAGATGTTTCGTTCATCAGTAAACAGATCTCATTATCTAAAGTCGTCCACACTATGCCTGTCACAACATTCCAAGGTTACTGTTAGAATCAAACTTAGGCATGATGTTGTACATGGCTTTTAGTGCTGTTCCTCTTTCTCACAGCATTACAATATTAGACTTATTCATATCTACACTTAAGCAGGCTCAAGTTAGTCTTGAAGTTAGTTGAATATACAACTGGGTCCTAAAATAATCTCTCAGTGTAAATTCTCTTTGTAGTTCTCTGCCATATAACAAAGTTAAATTCATCATTAGCAGTCTGTCAAATTCTGTTACTGTTTGTGATGAAATACTTGTCAAAATCTATGCAGGGACAAATACATTTAAACAGTTTTTAAAAACTTCAAGGCCATCAAAGATAAGAACTGAAAAATAACAAGCTTCTCATGATTAGATAGGTAAGAAAATACATCACAATATTTCAAACAAAGAGTAGAAATGAGGAATGAGTGTTACAATGAAACAATATAATTAGTTATGAATATAAAGCCTTGTAACACAACAGGCCAAACACATTCATTTTATATTTCAACAGATAAAATAAGATCACAGTTCAGAACATTGAATAATACACCAACACAAGAAAAATAGTTTTAAAGAAATTAGCATTTGAAAAGTTTTAGAAAAAGAAAGGTGTCAGGTCCATTTACGATGCCTTTGCTTTTCTGTTTGGGCAAGTTTCAAAAACTTTCTGTCAAGTTTATACTATTTAGTAATATTTAAATATTTTATTGCAATATCACAATGGAGATTTTTGACAAACTCACACTTAACCTACTAAAAGCGGATTTGATCAAAATGCTATGACTTCAAATTTCCTTCCAGCTGAATATCCTTTCTGAATGCAATTTGTTGTGCATACATGTGGTGTACAATCTATATAAAATGTATATGGTAGATAAAATAACTGTTTACGTTAATATTGAGAATGTATGGTCTTTATAGTATCCTCTCTATAATTGTCACAGTTATGGCTAGTTCATGCAAAAAGTCCTTCATAAGTGTGGAAGTGGAAACCTGTGTATTGCTGCTCTTTGGCTGGTGATGTGACGTGAAGAGCTTCACGGCTGAGGTTTGTAGCAGTAGACACCGTACAGCTTCTGCTTTTTGTCGGGGAAGCCAACAAAGCGAACCGCAGCCTCTGTGGGACTGCAGTTCTTCCTAGGCCTGGAGATCGGATAACGAACGCTACCGTCAGCCAGCCAACCGGCATCACAGCGGTCATACCCCTGCAGCTTCCAGGCAGCATATATATGGCCCACCTTTGCGATCTCAGCTCCATCTCTCTTACACGTGTTAACGGCCTCATCAAAGTTCAGCTTTTTGGGCTGGATCAGATAGTAAAAGCGTCCTGTGATGTAAAACAAAGAGTTTCATGGTTGTGGACACAGACACTACTAAATGGTATGCTCAATTTTATACTAGAATTGAATTGATTAACTCACCTTTAAGGCTGGCTGTGAAGCAGAACACGTCATAACGGCTGTTGGACTTGTCCTGTCGGCCATAGTTTCTCAGTCCGGCTGAAGTCCTCACGCCTCCGCAGGGCTCTCTGGGTTTGGTGATGGGGTACTTCACGGTTCCGTCATTGAGCCAGCCAGCATTGCACCAATCCATCCCATTTCTCCATTCCCCATAGAGCTGCTCGAAGGAGGCGACCACAGCGTCCTGCTCCAGACATGCGGTCTCAGCATCTTGGAAGTTGAGGTTGTACCGCCCCAGACGAGGGGAGTATGGGAAAACAACCCCTGTGAAAGAAAGTGAATCTTTCCCTAAGGAAATGTTCAACTGAGTTTAACATAAGGGCTGTTTTGATGAATATATTTTTTTCACCCCAATGAATGAATAAGAGCGATATCAGTGAAAGCCTTAGCTTTAGTTTTCTAAGAGCCTCCCTGCTTAGTTGAAAAGATTTATGTGGTACAGCGTTAAAGAGAAAAAAAAATAAAAGAGAGAGAAAATTACTTGCAGGGCTTTGGCTTTTCAATCTTAGACTCCATTGTTCCAAAGTTAACAATGGCTAGTTGTGCCAGCCTGTTTCATTATGCTGATGCACCTCACTTTTCTGTGTAAAGATCCCATTTGTTTCTCTGGAGCCAAGTCTGCAATGGTGGTCATGGCCAAGAGCAAGAACTACAGGATATTAATGGAGAATGAGCAAATGATAAGTGGCAAAAACAAGTGTTGAAAGAAGAGTACGAGAGTATCTTCACATTTCAAGTGCTAATGTTGAAGACTATTTACTGAAATGAACAGCTCAAATATGACTTATGAAGAGGGTGTTGTAGCGTCTGCGTAGAATCATGCATGATCTTTGGGGTTTTATGGCCTAAGAGACCCTTTTAGCTTTTGACATTTGCATATAAATTACAGTCCTGGTCACAGACTTTACACTTATATGGGTGCTAAATGGCCAGTGGTTCCCCCCCACTATCAAGGAGATGCTAAACAGTTTCACCACTCTCGTCTGACCATTGAATTTCAAACACATTCCAAAGAGACGTAAATGACCCCCGTGGCCAGGCAACGATGGGCCTGGCTGACCAAGCAAAGTAACACACACACACACAAACACACACACGTAAAGACCTTTTACTCTATTATAGTTACAAATATATCTGGTATATTGCATGTGTTGTTTGTACGTTTCCCTATTAGATTAGCTGAGTTACCACTCGTTTATTTGTATTAGTTAAAGCCCTAAACACTGATATTCAGGTGTATGGATGTATCTTTGGTTTAATCTATTCTAAATGTTTGTTTGTTGGTATCAATATTATCTGCTCTTTATTCCTCAAACAATGATGTACAGTATGTGATTGTGAAACGCATCATACGATTATTACATTAGAAAGTCTAAGGCTACATGAAGATTTCCAAGACATTAAAAGCTCCTAGAGACACCGCTGCCAGCCTTGTTTCTAAGCTTAAAATGTGTTGTACCAGAAAACCCTCAAGGGTGTTGAAGAAAAAAAAGCTCAATAAAATGTTTGATCAGAGCAGCTGAGAAAAACCTGCATTGTACAGCCAAAGACTTGCAAGATGACCTGATGAAGGAGAGCGAAACATTTCAATGCAGAGTATAAGAAGAAGAACATTAGACAAGCATGGCCTTCATTTTTTGAGGCATCTTGCTGAATACCAGTCTTGATCAAGAAGATCATAAAAGGTCGACTTGAACATGCTCAAATTCATTTGGATAGACCTGTGGAGTTCTGGAAGAATGTTTTATGAAGTGATATGACCAAACTGGAACATTCTGGACCCATGGATCAGCAGTATGTCTGTTGCAACAAAGGCAAAGCTTATAAGCAGAAGAACATCATCTTCATGGTCAAACATGGAGGTGGCCCAGTCCTGTTATGGGGGTGTTTTGCTGTTGCAGGAGGTGGAAATTTTGACTGTATGAAGGACATCATGGATTCTTTGAAGTATCAGGCAATTTTGGCAAAGACTGTGATGCCTGTGGTGCAGAGGCTGAACCTTGATGATAAACACTTTCCCGCAGGAAAACAATCCCACTCTATACATCTAAATCTACTTAAGCTTGGATCAGGAATCAATAGAATGTTTTTGCATGTTCAGTCTTCAGATTCAAATATCATTGAAAATATTTGGTGGATTGCAGTAGATTGCAAAGATTGCAGAGGTGACAGAAGTGTAGCGTCTGCTTAGAATCATTGAGGGTCATGGGGGCTTTATGTCTTAGAGACTCCTTTTAGCCTTTTGACATTTGCATATAAATTACAGACCTGGCCCCATATTCTACAGTTATATGGGTGCTAAAGTGCCAATGGTCTTTCTCCCATTATCAAGAAGATGGTAAACAGATCAACTCTCTGGTCTCCCCATCGACTTCAAACACATTCCAAAGAGACGTAAATGACCCCCGTGGCCAGGCAACGATGGGCCTGGCTGACCAAGCAAAGTAACACACACACACACAAACACACACACGTAAAGACCTTTTACTCTATTATAGTTACAAATATATCTGGTATATTGCATGTGTTGTTTGTACGTTTCCCTATTAGATTAGCTGAGTTACCACTCGTTTATTTGTATTTCATTCTGTATATATGTGTTTTGCTTAGTTAGTTATATGTTAGATATAGTTTCATTTATTAAATCCCTTATATTCACGATCGATTGCCTCTGTTTGCTGCTCACAATTCGAAGTCAATGAATGTTTTGAACCCTTGCTACATATGTTAAATTACTGCTAGCACTGCATAAATAAGGAAAGTATTCTTCCTTGGCCGGGAAAATAATCTTTCTTTGAATTGATAAATGATTATTTTGTCTGCTCGGTGGACGGACAGATCAAGTAATGGTAATATTGATTCTGCTACAGTTAATTCGAAGATCTAATCTAAATATTTATTATTAATCATAACCAGTTATAATTAGTCATAAATATTTCCCTTTTGAGCTGATTTACTACAGTGTAGAGAGTGAATTAAATATGTTTATACAGCAATGGCAATGTGTTGCAGTGCATATATGCCACTACAGAGACATATGGAAAATCTCTACTGTTTTATCTCCATTTTCATTAGTAAGTGACTTTGGAGGAGAAGAGCCTGCTAAATGAATAAATATAAATGGTACAGGTGAAATGATAACTTATATGACATCATGAAATAATAAAGTTACCTTGCAATTCAAGGTCCACTTCAACAATCTTGTCATTCATGCCGTTGATGATCTCACACCTGTATGTGCCATAGTCGTTAAGATCTAGGTCTGTAATAACCAAGGTAGCATCATTGTCATCCACCTCCAACAGGTAAACGCGGTTCTGGAAATTTCCATAGGTCTTCTTGTGGGCCCCCATGGAGATGAGCACATTGGTTTCTGAAGAGTCATCCTCAAGTTTGGCCCACTTGATTCTGTTCCCGAACAAACTGGACTGACCTTCCAGTCTGCAGGGCAGAGTGATATTGTCACCTCTGTTGGCGTAGACCTTGGTTCTTGATCCACCATCTGAAATAAAACAAAAGGAAAAGCCTTAGTTCACAGAAGGTCTAATATATTTATTTTATTTTATTTTAGATTTACAAGGACAGGATACAAGACTTTAGAGTTTAGTACATTTTTTATTATTATTACTTGACTTGACTCAAGATGTAATTACACTGAGTTATATTAAACTAATTTCCTACCATTTGGTTTGATATAATGGCTATCCATATATTTTGTCTTAATGTTTTGAAGAAGCCTACAGTTTTCGCAAAAGAAAAACACAGTGCCACACAAATCTTACCCAAAGAAATAATCTAATTATGATTCACTGGAATCAGATGGTGTGCTTGTACATACACGTGGGAACCACAGATATCCTTCTCCTATTTTGTGTCAATGAAGATGGATATTCCCCCCATAAAGCTCAACATTTTGCTCACAGATGTTGTGTCTATATCTCTGGTAGTCTAGTAGTTGCTATGTCTGCTTGTGGTTAGGGGCATAATTGTCTCATTCAGCCCCTTAAGATGTTTCCTGATCTCTATTTGAGTCTTGGAGGCCCCAATCCATCACAGCTCTCGATGGAACATTTGATGGATATCAGGGAAACTAAAACCGACCCAAGAGTTCTCCTGGCTGGCTATACCCCACCATCAAAGTGTCGATTACACAGCAGACATGATTAGATTTAGCTTAAGGCACCATTCAGTCTCTCATTTTCCCGATGGTTTGAAATGTCTACAAATACATTTTGGCAAATTATTCAAAGCATTCAAAATAATTTTTTGTTTTGGAAAAGAATACTGTTGTACAGCAAGGACACAATAAATTTATCAAAGATGACAGTAAAGACATCTATAATGTTACAAAAGATTTCTGTTTCAAATAAATGCTGTTCTTTTGAACTTTCTATTAATCAGAAAACTGTATCATGGTTTCCACAAAAATATTAAGCAGCACAACTGTTTTCAACTGTGATAATAATAAGAAATGTTTCTTGAGCACCAAATCAGTATATAACAGTGGTTTCCCCTTCAGGAACTCGAGCTGCGTCGAGATTCGCTTTGGGAACGTTCCTGCGTGACCGCGTTCTGAAGCACGTGTAAAATCAGTCCAATGGAGCAGCGAGACGTCACGAGCGGGGTGACGTGAGCGCCAGGAAGTATAAAAGCGCATCCGGCAGAGCGCAAGTTAGCTTCTGCTCTTCAGTAGCGCTCTGTGTATGTGTCAGTCTATTTACTGTTGTCTGTCAGTCCACAAGCATTCAAAAGAATATGTCAAAGTCTAAACTAATATCTATGACGAGCAAACGGCATTACAGACATTGTGTGCCTCCCTGCCCATGCTATCTGGCAGCGGGGGATACACACGATCTGTGTGTTGTTTGTTTAGGAGCGGAGCATGCACGGTCAGCTTTCGAGGGAGCTGATTGTCATCACTGCGAGTTACTCTCGCTGCGTATGCTCCGCTCTCGCCTGGCTGTGTTTGATGAGTGCAGCCAGGCTCGCGATCCCGCTGTTGCCGAGGCACGGCGTAGACTGTTGCGGGTGGATTTAGTGGAGGGATCCGAGACGGGCTCGTCCTTTTCTCGGTCCTCACCCGCTAGACCTGCGGCTCTCTCTCAGGGTTCAGAAGCCCGCGCTGCGGTTTCTTCCCCCCCCCAGAGAGAGAGAGCCAGACGCTTCATCTATCTTCCTCCGAGGAGGTGGATGTGATGAGTGTCAAGACAGAGGAGACTGTGGACTCGCCACCACAGTCCCTCGCCGAATCTCGACGCAGCTCGAGTTCCTGAAGGGGAATGTCTCTAGGTTACGTATGTAACCATGGTTCCCCGAGGGAACGAGACGCTGCGTCTCTTTGCCATACTCCCTGCATCCCTCCAGGCGCTACTTCATCGAAGCTAACTTGCGCTCTGCCGGATGCGCTTTCATACTTCCTGGCGCTCACGTCACCCCGCTCGTGACGTCTCGCTGCTCCATTGGACTGATTTTACACGTGCTTCAGAACGCGGTCACGCAGGGACGTTCCCAAAGCGAATCTCGACGCAGCATCACGTTCCCTCGGGGGAACCATGGTTACATACGTAACCTAGAGACGTTTTGAAGGCTCATGTGACACTGAAGACTGGAGTAATGGCTGATGAAAATTCAGCTTTGCCATCCCATGAATAAATGACATTTGAAATATATTTAAAATAGACAACACTTATTTTAAACCGCAATAATAGTCAAGAGGCATTTATTTGTCATTTGCACAGTTACACTGGGGAACTGGACATTGAAATGCTTGTGACGAGGCTCAGAATTACAGTAATTTTAACAGCCATATACCATATACGATTAGGCACGGACAGGTGGAGGGCATTGGCAAATCAAAGTGGCATGTGCTATTTTGCAGGCAAGACAATAAATAAGTATAATAGAAATAAGTGGCAGTAAACAAATATATGAGAGTCCTTAGTAAGAGTACTGAGATAATAAATACAAAGGCAGCAGTAACAAATACATTAACACAGTACAACAAATACAAGAAAAAAAAGGGAAAAAAAATTCACAGATGTCACAGTGTCAGCTGTTAAAAGTGGCAGTTATTACGTGTCAGAAGTCGCAGAGTTGGATGAAGGACTACTGGCTGTTAAGAAGTCTGATGGCTTGAAGATAAAAGCTCAGTGTTGGGAAGGTTACTTTGGAAATGTAATAGGTTACAGATTACAAGTTACCCTACTTAAAATGTAATAAGCAGTGTAACTTTTCAATTACTTTATTAAAGTAATGTAACTGATTACATTTGATTACTTTTTGATTACTTTTGTAAATTTCTAATGTTTTCAACTGTATAATTTTCAAACATAAACCAGGCAGGGTTAACCTTACAGTAGTACTTAACAGTAAACACTGATTCCTGTCAGACTTTCGAAATACTTCATCACTTGAATTAAGATTATAATATTTTAATTTTAAAGGAGACATTGGATGCAAAATTCACTTTTACGTGGTTTGCATAAATGTATCTTAGCAGTGTGTGGACACAACCAGCCTATAAATTAATTAATTAGTTGTTAGATGCTATGCATAAATTATATAGATTTAGTAAATGTGATGCAGCTGTTGTACCAGTACAACAACAACAACAATTATTCATTGTTTATTAGTTATTTTGTTTCCTTCAATGCACTGTTAATTAATTTACCCAATGATAAAAATCCATTCACTCCTTTTTTTTAATCCCCAAAAAAATGTGATGTAGAAGAACGTAAGAGTGTAAATTTTTTCCTGACATCAGAGCCACTGAGGACGCAGTGCATTAGTTTTGTTTTTGATGGTAATGCACCACCGAATACACCTATAATTTTACTCCAGACTGCTTTCTGAATGAGGGACAATTCAAGGCATGTTTTGTTAAAAAGTTAAAACTCAAGGATAGAAGAGTACCCATTGTTTGTGATCCAGCTGCACTTCCAGAAGTAGTAAGTGTCACACCTTATACTTTTTTATAATTACTTGCAAATCGCCTTTGCTCTTCCACGAAAGAGAGGGGTGGGGGGTGGGGGGCTCATTAGCATTTAAAGGGACATGCCCCGAAACAAGCCGCTGTAAACAGAGCAAGGTAAAAGGTAAAATGTTGTGAGGAATTTTAACCAAAGTATGTTGCAGACCTTCATGAAAAACCTAAAGAATCATACCAACTTGTGGAAGATGGGCATCCGATGTCCCCTTTGAAGCACAGCCACCACAAAATCAGACTTACTTTGAGATCATTATGAGGTTAAATGCATATTTAAAATCATAACAAGAAATATTTTATTAGCTATGATACTGTTTTTCAAATCAAATCTTTGTAAATCCTATGACAGGAAATACTGTCTGGAATCTAACAATGCCTTGGAGAAAACAGTTCATCAAAATGAAGCATAGCTACATAAACCCATAAAGGAAATAAAAGAGTTATTGAATAAGCATATTCTAAACTCCTGAAACATTGGTGTTTCATATTTTAGAGCAGTCACTGCAATTTATGAAAGAAATCAATTAAATCTGTATGTGGGAGTGTGTGTGAAAAAAATCAGATGTAACCCCCTTTGTAATCCTTAAAATTTTCATAAGTAACTAATTTAATTACATATTTTTTCTTAGTAACTGTAACTGATTACAATTACTTTTATTTTGTAATTAAATTACGTAATTCCGTTACATGTAACTAGTTACTTCCCAA